AAATTGCACACAGTCTTCAACCTAGGCTTACTTTCTATTCATCCTAATTAACAGATACACAGCAGACGATGTATGGAGTACGAGCGGAGTAGAACTAAAACATAGCGTATTGGAACAGCCTGAAAGAATGTCTAATATTGTCAGGTACTATTGTATATTTTTATGTCATCCCACCTTATCTTTATTTCAGTTTCACAATGGCTTTTATTCACACATCAATTTTATATTATTATTATTATTGTTATAAGAATAGAACTTGTTCACTGTGGTAGAGAATAATCCCATTATAGGTAAAATTTATTTTGATAAAGTCACACAGTGTTAAACAGTAATATTTACTGATTAACACTGTGAGACTATCCAAATAAATCTTACCCATAATGGAATTATTATTGTTACTTCTCTCAACTTCGATGTGACTACGGATGACGTACTTGTGTAAAGATTTAACTTATCTGCCCATTGACTTTCAGAGTGAGATAGCCCTAGTTCAATGAAGTGATATTAATATAACATCCGATGATGATGAAAATAAACCCTAGCATTACTGTGTGGTGGTGTAAGTCTACAAACCTCACCTGCGTATCAAGTGAAGAAATAAAATTAAGTGCAAATAAATGGAAATCACTCAGCTTAAGGTCACAGAAAGCTGTGAAACAAGAGGAGAAAAGGTTAAATGAAGGGAAAGTGAAGCTACAGTTCTAAATGCATCTGTATCAGTGTGATTGATTCTGAATCATAATACTTATCGTCTTCAAACATATTCCCGTTACTGAACGACCACAACCAGAAAAACCGAAAATTTTACGGTATATTTACTATATCTTGATCTACTTACATTTTTCCCAGTTTGATCTTACCCTGAGAGAACACACTGATGCTAATACATGCATAATAGGTGCACCATGAACCTCTGATGAAAGAAACTTCCATCCTCTTCGGATGAATCAACCAAACCATCTAGGATTTAGCTCTTAATCATTTATTTTCCTCACGATGAGGTATTTACTGTACCTAGCGATGTTATGAATGACGGTTAAGTACTCAGATGTTTCGCAGGTCTACAATAGTGAAGTTTCATAGGTATAAATATGAAGAGAAAGTATCGCGATGAAAAACAGTCAATAATTAATATGACTCTCTATTCTCCCAACTAACAAACTAACCGTCTATCATCGTATCTACGTATAAACTCTTTGTCTCTCGAATAAAAAGAGAAAAGTATGCATTCGTATAAATTAAATCGATAATTCTAAAATAATTATATCAAAAGTGAAAGTAATTTGCTTAAGATGTTATTTTCAACCTAATGAAACAAAGTAACACATAGGAACATATAAACACACACACACACAACACAAAGCAGATGAAAAAATGAAGTCAATACGACGAACATCACATTATTCATCCATACATCTATGGTTCAACTGAACTAGCAAGCTAATTTTAAACAATTCATAAAAGCGTGTACAGGGTCTGAAGTAGAGAAAGTAAAAACAATACAGTTTGGGCCAAATAAATGTTACTTATGCCAAAAAGTTTTAAATTTCATACATACACTGTCAACAAGTTTTAAAAACTTGACATATAATTGTAAACACCTGCATATAGTAAACACAATAGTGATTATAACAATCAAAACAGATTATTTTATTCTCGAAAACCAATTGAAAATGTCAGATAGGTTCACTGAGAATTAGCAATCTGCTCTTCGAATTCAGTATGATTGCAATTGATAAAAGAGCAGATAGTGTGATGTTGCATACCACTCATTCACACATGATCCCAGTAAAATTATGACTTCACTAGCAAAGAGGTCTGGAAGCTCAGTGGGTACTGTGACGGTTTAGTAATGCAGATACCGCGACTCAGATTTTCGTTTTACCCCAGATCTTCACCAATAACACATTGAAATTACCACAGAATCTATGTATGGCTAAATAATAGGGTGTGCATATATAACCCATGGGAGTTCAAAACTCAGCATTCTTGTGTGTCTTGACATTCAATGCAAGGGACATGAGGACGTAAAAATTTTCAGGATAGACTAAAGTATGGTGACCCAAGCTAGCGACCAACAAAAAGACTTTGATATAAGTATAAAACTTGGGCACTGTGGTAGAGTGTAACTCGTTTCGAAACGTCATCAGTTAATATTACTGTGTAACACTGTGATTTATCAAAATAAAATCTTATCCATAATGGAAAAAGACTTTGAATAACGAAGGCATTATATGGATAAAAAAAGTTCATCGGAAACAAATTATGTAACAATTCTACAGAATGGCAATCTCTTATGTGTTACGAAAGTTTCTTCCGGCTGATTACAAGGGTTCTTAGCATTTCTGTACATGTAGTCATTGAAATGATTGCATTTAATGTCATTTCTTGGTACATTTACCACTGCAATACTGTTCTTCAAATGCTTCCATAATCCCAACAGACCAACAAAATATGAAGAATGATTTAATGTTAAAAATATTTCTGCAAAGTCACTCAAAGTAATTTAGCTTCTCACCTCTGTTTACTGTCTCTAATATGCATTTCTCCTAATTTCTTCTCTTGTTTTGTGTGCTACATGGAATGTGGCGACTTGAACTGCCGCACATATGTGCAAAGTTCTATGTCGAAAACAGACAGACAGAATTTAGCTGACTATTCATTTAGCCCTATATAATTTAGTCTTGCTGATTTTTACTTAAATATCAGAATATCAAACTAATAGTTTCAACAGTGGTGAGTAAAGAGACCATAAGCCTGATAATTCCCAATGGTGAAGTAGTAACAACAAACAGGACAAATTTTATCCTTTTAGAACTTACAGAATATACAGATCATTTTAAATTTTTATGCTTTTTTCCCAATTTAGAAGACAAAGAAGTTCTAGTAAAAAATACTATTTTCGATAAATTCCTCACTTATATATATATATATATATATATATATATATATATGATATTCTAGAAAAACGGTCAATAACGTTTCTTTTTAAAAAAATACTATCTGCCAAGATCACTGGAATCACAGTCAAAGAGAGATGCGCAAATTATAACAGGCATAAAAATATAGTACTGAATTTAATACCAGAGAAAATTAGGAATTAAGAGAATCCCTGCAAACCAACACTTGAATATCAATCTGATGCTCACTGGTGACTGGCCCTATGCAGGTAGGTAGTTACCTGGGTTCTAGTGGGAGTCTGTGACCAGTAAAGCACAGCAGGTCGGGTCTGAGAACAAATACTCGCCGGCGATGGCATTGGCTAGTGCCAGTCAAGCTATGTCGTGAATTGACAGATATCGGAATTCATGGAATTGCCATTGGATCGGTTCTCAGTGGCCTAATGGTCTACGAGTTCGCCTAGTGGCGAGCGCGTACTACTGAAGAGTCCCAAACTAGGCTAACAGAACAGCTGTCCAGCATTCCCAGGTTTTCCAGTGGTTCTCTAACCGATGTCAGCTTATGACGAATTCTTGAAACCAATCAAATCCCTGCAAACCATCAGCTGAAAATTAACAAAACTTGCGCAACAATCAAAGATAGTTAAAACATTGAGGACCAAGGTAAAGAAAGCATATGAAAGGACTTCGTTTGACCGCATAAGTTGGATTTCTTACTGTAGATTACGATGGCTTCAGAAATATGTAACAGACGAAACCATAAAGTAAAATTAAGATTAGTCGGAATATCAGTAGATAACTTTAAAAGCCTTTTTTTAACACCAATTTTATGTTCTGTATCCACAAGATTAACTACAATAGAACTATGAATGGACCCTGTTTGTCCCTTGGCTAACCATACTGGATGATGTTCCGAAATCCGATGATAAACATGCCTAATTGTACGGCCTATGTTACTGGCTGTACAGGAGCAGTCAAACAGATAAATATACATGAAGGGCAAAATTAGGTAGTTTATATTTAACCCCTGGACGTAAATTGGAGTGTTTGAGAAGAGACAGTGTACTTCAGCAGCACTGAGTACTCTTTTTACCGCATTCCTTAAGGATCGTGTTATTATTTCATTGGTGATATCACCGCGGATCTGAAAGTGTTAGAACAAGATCTTTTTCTGAATTGTTGATACTTTAGCTTGACTTGGATTTAGATCCATAGTCTCTGGGTAACCATTTTCACTCAGTAATCGTTTCATAATAATACTCTTCACTAAGGCATAATCCAAGGTATTAAATTAAAGTGAAGTGATAAAAACAGGTAATTGTATTAACTGAAGCACTACAGCAAACACTTCATACTATTACTAGAAGACAAGCTTATGTTAGATAAAGTATAAAACTATGATAATCTACACATAAAAATCTGAAAAATCATGCTATACTTTCTAACATGATGAAATTACAACGTCACTGTATTACAATTCCCATCCATAAATAATGAGAGATGTATAACTAGGTGACAGCAGTGCTTTACACTACGCACCTTCCATTATATTCCTCTTGAGATCTCAGAATTTATTACAAATAAATAGTTTGAAAAAAGTATAACACACCAGTCGAAGTTGACTCACCGTTCACGAACTAAAGGGTAAACAAACAATTCATCTTTGTCTTCTGTATGCTCTCTGCTGAATTGTTCATGGTTTATTTCAGGGAAATCCTGACTTAGAGCAATCATTTTGGTGACCAATTTAATATCTAATAAATGTAGTACACTTGTGTGTTTTGAAATGTTTACGTACTAAATACGTTGAAAGATTTTATGAAATTATTAGTAGTGGGCGTTACCATTTAATGGATATAAAGTCAAATTACTGAATGATGATTGGTTGTAACTTCATCCAGGCTATCATGAACCTTGAAATGACCTTAAGTAAAATCATATCTAAACATGCAAACCAAAGAACCAATCAAAAATAAGAACACATCACTAGATTATAACAACTACACACAAGTAGTTTAAGTGGCATTGTTTTTCAGCTAATGTAAACTGTGGGCTGAAGGAGACAGCTGGACTTGAGAAAAATCCCCATTTTTAACTCACCCTGAAGCTATTGGTCGTCTGGGGATGGGTACATTATCTGGAGTGAAGTCCCATTCAACCAGTCCTGAAAATCCTGCTAAACTTGAAGCAGCTGCCATACCAAGCTCCGCATAATCTCGGCTTATTCTAATTTCGGACAGTCCATTTTCCTGTATTTAAAATGAATAAAATGATAAATTTTATTTGCGAAAACATGTGATCACAAACATATACATGCTTCTTCAGGACCACTTAATTTTGAAAAAGGATACAATAATATAATCGATATCAATGCTGCGTACATTCATTCTGTAATTTACTATTTACAGAATGACTTAATAGAATCACTAGTTTCTTATTAGATTAGATTGAGAAAAGGAGTAGGAAAAAGTCGTAGTTATTGTATTATGGAGTCAACTATGTCGCATACAAGAAGCCGGCTGTAGAGACGTAATTACTCAAAGGAGTGGGAAATGCGCCTTTGTTATTTCCTTAGCACATTAGCTATACCATCAACTCTCACTTTATATTGGATATAACTGAGTTGACTAAAAGTGATGGTTGATTGACTGTAGGTATAATAATACTCAATTGTCTTCGGTGATATTTTTGTATAGTGATTCATTCTGACAATAAACCGTTAATCACTTTCAACTGATTAGGCCTTCTAACTTAATAGAGTGTCGCAATTTAGCAGACTTCCAACAATCGTATAACAATAGAGCAGGGCTATGGAATACATTTCTAAATGGCTGCAAGAACAAATCGCCTGATTCAACTAACCACTGAGACAGATGTCGGACGTCATCTATTGAAAAGCACATCATACATATAGATCATAAAGTTTATTTATAGTGCCCATAAACCCATAAATAAATAAATTCATTGAAGCCTCAGTCATGAAAACGCTTAAGCATGTTTTATGTGTTCAAAAATAATATGTTGTTATTTTGAACGTGCCTTAGAAATCCAATTTTAAAGCCATTGCTTATTTCATTTGATAATATTTTCATCCCCTCTTTTTTCTTACTTAATTTTCCTACGTTTTATTTGTGATGGTGACCAGTTAACATTTGGACCGATATTGAAGTAATTTGGTAGATGGTGACTAGCAGTGGAATCCAGGATGCGTACTTTGTCCTACTTCAGACTCGTCAGCTGGATATACCTGCATTCCCCGGTGAGTGACGGTATCCCCACTAAGGCCCATGGTGTCCATGGTTTCAGACGCTAAAGCGTTTTCCACTAGACCACTCGGGCCATGAGAGAACAGACATCATCGAAGCATGCGCACAAGGAGCTGATGTGTCAACAGAGGCCGAATATTTCGGTCCAATCAATTAGCAGGAAAATCAAAATTGAATTAAAAATAAATAATTTGGACTTATGTTGATAAAATTTTGATCCTTTATACTCTGTTGGCTTTTAAATGAATATGTATGACAAGTATTTGTGATCAGGATTTACGGAATGTGTTGAGAAAACACATTACATACTTAAGGCAAATTATATCCTATTGTTTTGTCGGAATTCATAAAGAGGAAAACACTTTTCGTTCAGCTAAGAAACATTTCTTTTCTACGACTTCATTTTCAAGCTGTACAGTCGCATTTATACTACGAAAAACGGTATTAAGTGGCACCAGACATTGCTTAGTCAATATACATATGATAAGAACAAAGATAATTAAAATTATGTACTAAGAGGGTAGAATTGCAGTGGATGAATTATACAACTTTTAAAGATTATTAAATAAGTGAATTGGTATTCAGATTTTGAAAACAGTAGGTTAAGTGTTGTCTGAAAAATTAAGAGTACGATGATGATAATAATAAAGACGACGAAGGTAAAGTGAAATTAATTCAAATGGTAAAATAGAATAAAATAAAAGAACATTACTATGACCAAGGTAAAGAAAGGGGTTTGACAAGACGTTTTTGAATACATAATTTAGGTTTTTGTCCAGTATGGCTAGAGCTTCGGCTATGCATAAGGGGAGAAAACATAAGCTTTTAGAGTGATTGGATTTGGTCCTGTAGATAAATTTAAAGGATAAATCACTTGGGGCTGAATAACCTGACTCCAGAAGGTGTTCACGAATTGAAGACTTTATCGTCCTTCGCTCACCTTTCATTCACCGAACCGGGTAGTGTTCAGCTACGCGTTTAGGATGATTACTCTTACAACGTCCAATGCAATCAGCTCTATAGGAACATGTGGATGAGTATATACACATAGAGGTTAACATAATCGGTAGTTTATCCTTGACGCATTGTCGAATCATATCTTGACTGGTAAACACTAAATGTAAGTCAGCTGAGTAAAATCACCGTTCAATACATTTAGATAAACGACTTTTAATTACTTCAGAAATACTGTCACCTTTGAACGCCAAACTCATAAACAGTGTCTTTTTTGACACTGTGATTTGGCTGGGAATTGGTTCTTTCTTGATGTTTCTGTCGATAAACCTTCTAGGATATCTGTTGTTTAAGAAATTTGTGGGAAGGCTTTCTATTTCTATGTCAATCGTATGAACAACTTCTTCCCTATTGACCCAAAACTTCAAATTCACTTTTTTAATCTAACTCTTTCTTTGATCTATTTTAGGAACATAAAAAAATATTTGCTTTTGAGATAGTGATTTTCCTAAGCACTTTAAGTTTTCGATATACTACTTCATTATATACCATCGGTTATCCAGCGTTAATCGTCGTTACTCAGTTTCTTTCATCTAGAGATGATTCATCTCCGTTATTCACGAGAATCTTCGCTACTCTATGTTAGACGACTTTGGATTAGGTATCTAATAAGATTAAAATATCAAAACTAATTCAAGAAGTTTCTAACTACTATTCTTAGGCATTTAGAGACGTATAAGTTGCCAAAATGTGAGTCAGTGGTTCAAGAGTAGAATGCCCAACAGCCACGCGCGTAGTCCAGGTTCCATTTCCAAATGATACACTCTTGAACCTTGCCTAGCAGGTAACAAACTCGGGAAAAAGAGGTTGAACGTGAGGCTGGCAATCTTACGCCTTACAAACACAAGAGCTACTGAAACTTGAAAGCTTAAAGCCCTTCATTCTACTTGTGCATTGCAAGGGAATCAAAAACAAAGTTGTCGAACTGGAATTTGGTGATTCTTTGTGACATGACACAAAGTCATTTACAATAACACAGATAGGTATATTCATTTTCGATTGTCATCAAGATTTCTAAATGGTGTATTCCGGCACACTTATGCATCTCTCGATTCATCCATCATACTTTAAGAAAAATGTTGATGATAAACACCAGTAATGAATAGTTCTTTTTTTATTTTTTTATTACAGCTTGAAACCACACAGTACTTTTGGTACAAGTATGAATTTTCAGCGTGTCATATCGGTAGCCCAAATTTTGCAGGCCGACTATTGATATCAAGTGTGAATCAGCAGGGGATCGAACCCCGGACCATGTGCATGGTCGGCTAGAGTAATAACCGCTGTGGTAATTCATGGTGTGTGTATTTTTGTAACTGTCCAAATAAGTTGTTAACTTTTCATAACTGAAAAGTTAGAACCATTTATAAGTGTAAATAACTTCAAGTCGAAGCTACTATCACACCGATATAATTACTAACAGGCATAAAAACACTCCACAGGATTATGTATCGAAAGCATACATCTGTTAAATTCAGTTAGCATTTGTTGAATAAGCTCTAGCTTTCCATGTAATTATTGATGCATTTATCCACTTATCGCTTTGAATGAACATGTTGTCGACTAAACATGAACATATATACGTATAATGTGTGCTATTTATAAACAGATAAGATGAATACATCGAGTAATTTCTTAGGAAGACAACTAGACAACTGGGAACGAATGTCAGATATCATAGATCAGTAGTGACCTCTACTAACTAACCTCTAAACTGATCCTGTTTCAATATAGCTATCGCCACGAACTTCACACCTGCTAGAGACCGTTAAGAAGCAAAGAGTATTGACAGTTTTCTCCACTTAGTTTGGGACTCTTCTGGAACAGCCCACGACCCCTTCAAGTATCGAACCTAGGACCTTCAGGTTACGTGGCCAAGTTCATTCGCCATTCAGCTACTAACTTATGTCGATTCGTGATATAGCACTACTGCCCGGTCCTAAGTTATATTCCTGGTGTAGTTGTGAATGTTTGATTGTTGAAAAGTCCCAAATTAGGTCGGAACAGTTGTCCATTGCGTCCGAAATTGCGTTTTTTTCGTGACGAAATTTACATTGAAGTTTATAAAAATCCTAATGAAAACCTAAATACTCTGGAATTGCTTGTTTTCGAAGATGGATATCACACTGCGTACAGTAATTTTCTCCTTTACTTCAATGGATGAGGATTTTTAATCGTCATTCACTTTTCATAACTCTATAGATTACATCTCCCATAAGAAGGTTGTAAACGTGTGTTAAAATGCTTCAAAATAATTAGCTATCAAACAAAGAATATTTATAAGGCTATCAGAAACAGTTACCTTCTCTACACATGCTAATGTATGCATGTAATTCAATTGTAGTAGTTAAAGTACACTTGCGTCAATGCAAGTCAAGGAAACTTATAAACTCACATTGAAATTCTAAAGCTTATCCAAATGGGATATTGGAAAGACCTGCAAACTCTTTTGTTATCAGTTTTAGCTATGCGAGAAACTGTTATGGAATATTAAACAACTAATGACAGTTCAGAAATAATAATTTTAATTTAGACAAAGCAATGAGAAGACGTAATTTGTCTGATCGTGGAGTGTATTTGCGCAACATATTTCGAGCAATCTGATCACATACGGATTTTTCATAGGAATATATATGAAATCAATAAAGAGTTAAGAGGTGAGAAAATGAATTAAGGTCAAGTTAAAAGGATACATTGAAGGTCAAAATAACATGATGATCACTAAACCAAATGACAGAGGTAATAGTACATCTGCCCTGACTGGTATAAAGACAAAGTCTACCAAGGAACGTAGGTTTAGTGTGATGACGAATTGTTTTTGAACGCATAAAGATGGCTTAAACTTTCTAATTGATAGGGCTTCCACAAACTCAGGGATACACACCAAACACATTTTATAGACAGGTTTAAAAGATGTGTTGACGTCAATTTTATGTCCTGTCTCTATAAAATGTTTTGCTGTAGAGGAGCTGGGTCTCCCGTTCTTACCATTAATCGGTTCCGAAGATTCCATTTGCTTCTGGAGGCATTTAGGGATATGCTCTGAAGTTCTTACTTGCAGAGATCGATGAGTCCTCCCTATGTCTGTGTCCACACGTACAGTCAGGTCGGTAAATACAGTGGGATGTGACGTCACTCTTCGCACGTTCAAAGGACTTAGATCGATTTATTGGCTTCACATTCTCAATTATTATGATATTATGATATCTTTTTAACAGCAGCGTTCAATCTTTGTTTAGTTATCAAGCTGCCATGATGCCCCATATTGGGTAGCTTGATGTACACGTCTTTCTTAGGGGCGAGTTGGAGAGTGGATCTTGGTGTTCTGACTGTTTAATATCTCCTGATGAACTTGTCTGGATAATTGTTACCAACCAGAGTTTGTGTCAACCTTTTTTCTTCCTCATCAAGTGTGTCTGTCTTTAGTGCATATTCGTTGGATTCTACTGTAGAGGCACCTTAGTAAGGCTGTTTTGTACCGAATAGGTCATAAACTGTGATAACTAAGATACTGTCCTGTCCAGGTAGGTTTTCCTATAAATAGATCGTCTTACTGACCCATCAAACTGTCGACTAAGCAAAATGTCTAGGAAAGACAAACAATTATCTTCCTCTTTTACAGACGAATGTGATATGCTATTCTGACCTTTATTCATTCGATTTAAAATTGAGATGGCAGAACAAGTCGCTTATCACTTATGATTACAATGTCATCTACATACCTTCTATAAAGTGGCACATTTTCGATTAAATCCTCCGATAGACTCTCAAAGTACGACATATAGATATCTGCTAAAAGGGGCCCTAATGGACTTCCCATAGCAACACCATCAACCTGCGGAAACAATCGCCTTCAAAACTTAGGCATTTATAAGATGGTGATAATGAGGATATCTAGTACTATACCAATATTCATCTGTTTTACTCCAGTAAAAATTGATATCAATGTGTCATGAATAGCAAGTATTGTAAATGTGAACATTAGGAGAATTTTTACCCGACTTCCATAACCGAATTGTGTGTCTCGCCAAGTAATACCATGAGCATTTTCAGCTGCTGTACCTTCATGAATACTATCTTCACCTGATGAACAGAAGAAAAGAATAACAAAACCCATAAATGTATGCATACTTAATAGTCACAATTATAAAAAGTTATCATTAATGCATGACTTGATGACTAATTTTAATCAAATCACTTACAGACAACCTGTGTATACTGCGAGAATATCGGTCAGTAGTTCAGAAAATGGTGACAAATATCCTTATTAAGTAATAATTACTCCCCATAGCTATCCTACTTTTTATGCATGAGGAAAAGTTGTCTAAGTGTGTGCCTACAAGTGACTCAATCCACAATTCACAATCACATATGTATTACTGTGTGGTTGACTGTTACGGTTTTGCTACATTTTTCAGACTAAAGTTCTTAAATATAAATAATGTGCCGAACGCTTAAGAGATAATCAAACGAGATTATAAAGAAACTCAATAGCCTTGAGAAACATGCACATGCTTGGCTGAACCAGGGTGAAGCGTTGTAGACGGATACATGCACACACACACATAATACATACCTGAAACATTAGATAATTTATCTGGAGCTATTTTCACGTGATTTATACCACCTCGATGTCCATAATGTTCATCTGACGATCTATAGTCAAAATTATTTTGATTTTGTTGTTGCGGATGATGATGAGGAGGATGAGGATGGTGAGAACGCTGGAAATTTTGTTGCCCAATACTTTGTCTACTTTGTGCACGTGAAAATAAGGGTGAAGATGGCATAACAGTGAAATCGGGTTCAACTGGATAAAGAAATAAAAATAAGTCGAATCAGAAAATTCATCAGGTTGTCGACCAAAAACTGTTATCTCCATTTATGTTTATTTAAGTTACGATTGCCGGAGTCACTCAGTATTCTCCAGACAGATAAAGCGATAGAACAAATAGACAATTACAGTCCAAATATCTTAGTGGTAATGATTTTTTAGACTGAAATGCTGAAGATCAAGTTTACACATAATATTTCATAGTAGATACTTCCACGAAGATGAATTGTGTAAACGACCTGCTGATGATCCTATGCAAGCAAATATAATCTACACATCATGTACGAACGAATAATTCATCAGAAAATGAAGACAGACTAAGATTCAATCCACAAGCTTATTTACATTTTTTAAAATAGTAAACAGGATATTCCTGGAGGGATAAAAAACAGTAAATGGTGGTGCCATGGTTGTTGATCATCCCGAAGATGTGACATTTTAGTGGACAAACTTACTGATGCGCAAATTTCAGAACAAGATATATGATTTTGTTGGAACCTGTACTAGGCTGAAAACCTTCCTCAATCATTCACAGATTTTAAGTGTGTTAACACTGGTAAATAATGAACTAATAAGACGAAAGAGAATACTGAATAATAAATCCATTAGTTATGTAGGTCAATCAGGGTGAATTTAACGAACAAACCTGAGCCACTGTTATTGTATTACACTTTAGAAGTCAGATGACCTATTCTCACCGGTATGATGTGTCTGAAGACTGGAGAAAGCACGCGAAATCATGCAGTCCAAAAGTTACTGATAGGAAACGGTTGAAAACACCTCAAACAAGACAAGATGACAACAGAATACACAGATTAAACCACTGGACCGAGACAGAACATTTACTACAACGCAACCAGACAACCCAGAAGTTCAACCTTCTTCAACCAACGTCTCTGACTGCAGCACTGGGGGACGAGGCTTCGAATCTCAGAAGTGACATGAGTTTCTTCAAGGATGCAGATACGCCTTGCTGACTCGTGAGTGCTAACTAGTACGAAACCTAGGTTCAAGGCTTCCTGCTGATTGCCTCCAACTATCTAATATCATCAAATCAATGTGCACGTGATGGTGAACTACCTAGAATGGTGGCCACATTGCAACCCTGACTGATAGAATTCAGTCTGCACCAAAGAAAGGACTAGACACGTCACACTAGTTACTAGCGTCCAATCAAAGTATAATTGCTTAATTATTAGCTTAACTGTTCGAGGTGCATAATATTTATTATATAATGTATTTTTGTATGAAAAAAGTCGGTTTGTTCTCACCGGCACATACTAGTCTGTTTTCTATTTTCACTTCCATGGGCCCTGGAGATCAGCAGGGGTCGGTGATCCATACTAGTATGGAAACCACAAATCAGCAGTATTGTTACACTATCACAGACATGACATTTAGTGACTTTTGAACTAAGTTATTCACAACATAACTTCCCCCCTTGTGTGAGTCGATGATGGTCGACAGTGTAGCTGCTTATCGAATTATATATGTTGATCGAAAACTTTCTGTGAAGTAGTATGTCGTATCATTTAATGCAACGATCCATTACATTCCTTACTAGTGTTTCCTAATAGTCTAGGATATGACAAACGAACTCACTGGTTTGAAGTGAGAATTCTTGTTATTAGAAAACTAAGAAAAAAACAAGTGAGTATTTTCACTTGGTTCTATGATCAACATCTCTACACTACAATGTAGCACCTTTTTATTAAAAATTCACAAGAAAGGCCTAAATCTATCCCGAAATGTCGAAAAGGTAAGTAATTTCAAAAATCACTTAAAATATTTGCAAAATACAAAGAAATATTATGTCAGTATATTTCATACATATCTGATATAATCATATTTCATCAATTTTCATGTGAGACAATTAAATCATCTTGATTAAATCATTCTGAATGCTATCAGTTAGGTTATTCATATAGTTTACATATATATACATATATACATTTATATATATATATATATATATATATATATATATATATACTGACATAACATTTCCATTTTCATAAATTTAAGGAAGTGATTATCTATTGACACTGTATTAAACTTGCGCATAAAACTAATTTGACAGTGTTAACCACTTATTTCTACACGGTAACTATTCACAATCTTCTGATGTCGGTCATAATAGTAGATTCAATACGGATTGGAAACTAATCATCAGTTAATATAAAAAGCTTAACCTTTAAGCTATATAGCTCGAATATACCGTGAAAATTTAGTAACATTTCCGTTGAGATTTTCACTGTTAACGTTTAGCATATAGGATTTAAAGATTGATACTACATTTTTTTACAAATGAATTGATTAGTTTCAGTTTGAGAGTATTACTTTATTTTCATGGTTCCAAATAAAAGCTAACACTAATGACTTCCCCTTAATGAATTTGAATAAAGCAAGAACAACAGTTTATATATATATATATAATTACTGTATGCATATATTGATTGATTTTTGTTTAAAAATGAACTCTGTGAAAGTATGTTAAAATTTTTTCTGTAGACATATTTAATAGTGACTTTGGGCTGTAAGCAGCACGTGAGAAACCAACGAAATAAATGATGTTACCATTTTATTCTGCAAGAACTATTGATTTCCTTTAACCAAGTTATGCAGTGGTGATAAAGTGAATGAAACAAACCGATGTCAGCTCATGATGAATTCCAAAACCAAACAAAAATTTAATGAATTAGTCATCGGTGATAATTAGACTTAAGTACTAGTTGTTGGGCGATTGAATGTAATTTGCCAAAAAGCCCTGGAACTAGGTTCCATCTTAACTGGCATACGTCGGCAGCTCATATTTGCAACCTCGGATGAAATGTTAGTTCCATGGAGATTGGAACTAGCATCCCCTAGTGCTACAATCAGAAACGTTACCCCTGAGTTATTTCGGCACCCAAATAATTTTCCACTACAACTGTAATAAATGAATCAAATGGTCCCCAGGGTCAAACCAGTTAGTGTTAAACATTACCTATTATCTTCCTACATAGAAAATGTAATACATTAATTCAAGTAATATGACAGTGAAACTATGTAGCTTACCACATTCTTCTTCAGTATCTGTAATTGGATTATCTCTCATCATATCTGGATGCTCAAGACCAAGTCGATTTGATGAAGTATACTGTTGTCTATTTAGTGACGAAGTATGCTCTTGACCAGAAATGATAGATGCATTTAATTCTGCATTCATTGGTAATTCATCAGTATTTTCCTCCTCCCACGATTCTACACAGGTGGTCACCTGACGCAGTGCTTCGAATATATTTAAGTAATGCTGATGACGAGCGACGTGAGCTGGTGTCCAACCATACTATAGGTGTTATAAAAACATCGGATGAGGAACTTATGCAGTACCATAATAGTGAATATGTTATTAAAGAAATAAAAGTAATTGTTGTTAAATTCTTTATTAAGTTTTAAAACTTACCAGTTACTCATACTGCTCGAGCATGATTTCAAAAGTATGAAATTTAACCGTATTACAAATTGTTGTATATAGTACTGATGCTAGCAGGAAGGACACCATTAATTTAACGTATTTTTGTCTGCTCAATGCATCCTTTCCCAAAATAATAAAATACAAGTATAATTCTATGCAGGTTATTGTCGAAGTTAGATAATACTACTTCTGAAACTCATAACTAGAATAATTCAGTCTCATATCTACTTCATCCGAATGAGTTTCAGAGGACTACAGAAGCCAGAGTTTCTCAAGGAAAATATCTTAGAAAGCTATTCTACAAAATATTTCCTAATACACTAACATACATAGTACGGAAAAGAGTAAGTTTACTCCTTCAAGTTCACAAAATTCTTTAAGCACTAATGATAATGTCGTGGTGTCATGTTGAAATAAGTTAACACATTGAAGTGATAAATTGAAGACAAAATGAAATAAAATATGATTTTAAATTTTCATTCGCGGAAAAACGTATTTGTTTGAAACTTCGAAATAAGCCAAATAGTGTATTTAAGTTAGTTTTGTATCTCCTTTTGATTGATTGCATCGGACCAAAATGCTCTGTTGACTTGTCAATTCTTAGTACAGATGGTCCGACAGTATCTGAAGAATAACGTGATACTATTTTGATATAAGTATAACACTTGGTCACTGTGGTAGAGTATAACTCCATATGATTATGAGCAATAGTTTGTGCTCGAAATGTCATCAGTTAATATTACTGTATAAAACTGCGTGATTTTTCAAAATAAAATGCTATCTATAATGGAGGCTGATGCTATTTTGTCGATGGTGAATAGCAGTGGAATCCAGAATGCCAATTTCATCCTATTTTGAACTCGGCAATACCTTCATACACTGGAAATAGCAGATACATTCAGTTGACGGGTCCCTAATAGAATGAAATGAGGATCCTGAATCGCACTGCTAGTCACCATCTTCCATATAAATAGGATATTCGTCCGTTTAATCAGTAGTAGAATGCACGCCTTATAGTTAGATACTAGGAGTCCGTCGTTAAGATGCAAATCTCCTATCCTGATCCTAGGCTTGTCGACACTCATCCATAACGTATATCTCAAAACTCATGGTTTCTCAAATCTGTGTTACTCAGTGCTGAAGTAAACAACGTTACTCTTCAGCTAATGGGGTCAAAACTGATCCTACATAGGAGTGACAGATGTAGATGAGGGCAGTAGTTGGAGCTAACTAATGCAGTTTATTAATACTTCAAGTGTTAAATGAAATTTATTGGCTGGATTTACACTGATATCAGTAGTTTAAACAACACGAGATTGATGTGCACATTTTGTTTTCGTGTTACGTATTAAACTGTTGAATCCCCTATAATCAAAAGACTGATTAGTGAGACTGAGTTAAAAAGAGAAGTAGACAAATCGAATAAAATAAAAACGTTACGTAAAATTGTGTGAAATTTGATAGCATAGAATTTAACGTTGTAAAAAATAACTGATTTAGAAAGACAAGTAAACAAGTGAAATAATACCGGGGACAGTTCAGAGTGAGAATAGTAATGGTAACAATTAACGTAATAAAGGAAGAGCATACATACTCAATGGACAAAATGAAAAATTGGTAGAGCCAAAATATGACTAGGGATTACCACACTTTAGCTTAAAGGTGAAAACACCATGAAAGTTGAGGGGATTGAACTAAAATTTTGTGTACACAGAGCTCTCGCTTTTCTGTTTCGATAGCCGAAGCTTCAGCAATACAGACGAGCAGCTTACGTAGTGATTTCTGTGAATTACTTTTCGCGTTGAAGATGAGTTCAAAGACGGAGGCCATAGAGATGGGGTGATCATTATCGACAAGATGTTCGCGCTTCTTATTGCTCAGATTCCATATATTTGTGACAACGGAGGATAGCCCTTGATAAAATAAAAGTGGAAAGCACAGAAACGATTTGCTTCTCTAATTGATATTAATCCGTGATCAAACTTGCAATCAAGCAAGCCTGTACAATCCAACACTTGAATACTTTCGGATAAATGGATCAATAGTCAAGACTATTTGTTTTTAACAGGGTGTTTCTGTTCCCTTAATCAATGTTACGTGAACATGCTGACAAGACTGAAAGAGAAATCGTTTCATACGTCTTCTGAAGTTCTCTAAATCCAACAGACATAACTTCTTAATGAAATGATGACTCTGTAGAATTGAATCTCGATGGAAATATATTACAGAGAGAGGGGCAAGTTCGATTTGTCTTTCTGAAAGGAAAGCAGTATATGAATATATAGTGTCCCTAAATAACAATGTCATAATCTACTGAATCTTTAAACATGTCATCCCTTCTAACTTTGAAATGGCGGAAAACGAGGATGAGTCAAATTGTAAACATTTGGATATATTTGTTATTCTACCTAGTGGTCGTTTATAATGTTTTCAATATCATTCTAGTCGTTACATTCATTGAAATTTGAAACGTCTCCGTGTAGATTTCTTCACGAGCTAGCATAAGTTATAGGATCACTAGAAAGCATTGTGCACAGGACAACTGTTTCACCATAGTTTGTGACTCTTCAGCAGTGAGCAACCAGGGAGTGAACTCAGGTCCCTCAGATCATGAACGGATCCTGTTTATCATTTATCCAAAGGACTAAAATCCGATGACCCGTAAATTCCTAACTGTCATAATCACTCAAAAACTTTGTGAAAGTAACTATGATTCATACATATACTATGTGGTTTATGAATTTTCCTAACCAAGTAGCAAAAGGAAGTAAACAAAGAAAATGATATGAATGCTTATGTAGAAGTGTAACATTTCAAGCTATAAAATATTCACGTTTATTAATAGCAATTATAAGAATTTTGCTTTGTAGTGAAACAATTAAGTTTTCAAATCAGATTACTATTTAACAGATTGATACACATCTATGGTACAATTTATAAATTTTGATAGCATTATTAGAAGACGGAGATTATCTGAAAAATGTGATGTATTAGCGCTATACATTTCGAACAATCTGATCACACATTTACTTGTCAAGTCAATATATATGGAAAGGTTAAATTAAACAAGGTGACAAAAAAAGAATTAAGAATAATTAACACAAACGTTTGGTAATCCAATCAAATAAGGATTACCAAGGTAGGTTAAGAGTAATAACAAACTGTTTTTGAATACACAAGGGGGGCTTAAGTTTATGAATGGCTATAGCCTCAGCGTATTTCAGTAAACGTCCTTGACCGTTTTTATAGATGACCTTAAAGGCTGAGTATTCAAAAACAGTTTGTTATTACTCTTAACCTACCTTGGTAATCCTTATTTGATTGGATTACCAAACGTTTGTGTTAATTATTCTTAATTCTTTTTTTGTCACCTTGTTTAATTTAACCTTTCCATATATATTGACTTGACAAGTAAATGTGTGATCAGATTGTTCGAAATGTATAGCGCTAATACATCACATTTTTCAGATAATCTCCGTCTTCTAATAATGCTATCAAAATTTATAAAAGGTACAATTTATACATGAAAACCAGTGAGGGGATCGCATTGAAATGACGAAATGATTAAGTAGTTCAGTTCAGCACTGGACTAGTAATTCGGGAGTCGGTGTTTAAAATCCTGCAGAGAATCAGTTTCATTTTACCTTTAGCCATAGCACATTACACATTATTTTTTATTTATTCATGAGATAGTTTGTGTTATAAGACAGCATACTACATGTAACTTTATAGCGACTGGATCTGAATGATAAGTCTGCATAATTACAGTACGTTATGAGTCAAACTTGCAAGTACTGAGCTTAATCAAGTTGGATGTAAGATCTACAATGGTGAACACAACAAAGACCTTTTACAATTCTTTTTATTCTTATTTGACCTTTATGATCATATTGTGAACATAAACACTCCAAAAATGTCAATAAAGCACTATGTTTAAAGTACACTTAGAAAGGCTACACCATGCATACATACACATACACACATATTATTACCTACTATGTCCATTTCAAAAATATTTTACAGGAATAAACGTGATCAACTGAACATTTTTAAAATTTTTATTCATTTTCTGAAACAATCTTTTCACCTCGATACCTATAAAAATGTGTTCGCATTAGAAAGTAAATATAATGAACACAAACATGTCTACAAATGGAATGACAAACCTATCTACCTGAGGTTCTAGTGTGAAGCCGTGACCAGTAGGGTGCAACAGGTTGAAGGCGAAGCAGTAACTCATTGAAGAAGACATTGCGAAGTGGTTGCGCTATGTCATGAATTGGCAGAAGTTAGAATTCATGGGTCATTGGATCAAGTCCCAGTGGCTTAATGGTCTACGAGCTCGCCTTGTAACCAGGAGGTCCTGGGTTCGAGCCCCGGTGAGTGGGTACTACTGAAGAGTCCCAAACTGGGACGAAACAGCTGTCCAGTATCCCCAGGTTTTCCAATGGTTCTCTAACTGATACCAGCTCATGATGAAATCCTTCAACCAATCAAACAAAATCCCTCCTAAAACCAATACTTGAAAAACTCTATCTATATAAAATGTTCTCGTATAAAAGCTTTTGTAAATGAATACAAATAGCTTCATGAGAGAATTACCACCTTCAATAACTCCAATATCCACTTCAGATAATGAAGTGAAAGATGTTAGTAGAGACTGAAAAATTTGACATAACCTAAATATGCATATAAACTTTATGTACCATAATACCATGTATAACTCATAAGTCATCAAGATTTCCTGCTGTATAACAACAACAATAATCGGTTTTTCAAGTGTTGGTTTGAGGGGATTTGATTGATCTCAAGACTGATGGCGAACTGACTTCAGTTAGACAACCAGTGAAATCCAAGGAGTATTGGAAAACTGTCTTATCCTATTTTGGGACATTCTAGTAGTACTCACACATGATCCCACTGTGGATCGAACTCAGAACTTTCAGGTTACAAAGCGAGCTCGTATACTATTAGGTCAGTCTAATCGATGACAGTGGTTAGCGGCCGCACTATATATCACCAGTTGGCAGACGTTGGAATTGGTGAATCATTGTATTCCATCTCAGCAGCTGGATGGTCAACAAGTTCGCTCCGTGACCTGAAAGTTCTGGATTTGATCCCCGGTGGGATCATGTTTGCGTACTACTGAAGAGTCCGAAACTAGAATAAAACAGCTGTTCAGTACTCCTTGGATTCCAATCCTTCTCTAACTGAAGTCAATAAGTGGTCAGTCTTGAATTCATTTTTGTTAAAACTTATGTTAACGCTTGATGTTTACTATTTGTTTTATCCCCTATATTAGTGAGTAAATATGTTTTTACACTGTCACTATCTATCTTTATACCTTTTATCAGATCGCACCATCTAGCTCACCATGATCCATCTTTTAGAAATCATACACAGTAATAGGTCGAAGGAATCCTTAAAAAAATAACTCAAATTTCGTTGAAGATGATAAAATAAATCTTCTTCTGCTACTGTGGTTAGAATCTGGAGACATAGACAGAAACGTTGAGTATGATATATACACTTGATAAAATAAAGGTGGGAAGCCCAGAAGCGATTTGCTGTTACCGTTTACCTCGTTGAATGTGATACCTACTTTCGGCACATCGTTTTTTAGTTAGGGCATATTTATGCACAGTCATCTATAATATCCTTGAATTGGATTCACTTGAAATCTGATATATCTGCCAGTGTTATCATTATAAATGCCTTTTGGTTGTGAATTTTCTAAATGGCTGTCTTTTTAAGGAATCTTTTTTGAGGTAGTTGGGCTTTTGTTATTATTGTTATGGAGACGAGTGTTTGGAAGTTTTCTAATATGTGATGCATTCCAATTCAGTTTCAGAAAATAATAGTCAGGTCGACATTTTAAATTTATAGTTGTTTTTTTTTGTATTGGCACTGCTGAAATTATTTTCCGAATCTAAAGACTCACTTATTATCGTCTGGGTTTGATTATTGTGAAAGAGTTTTCTAGGAACAGGATGAGTGTCATGAAGTATTTTGTAATTTTCTTTAGTTGGTTATCAGATTAACATAACTTGGTGATAAAAAAGAATTAGTACCACTTAACGTTAAATGATAAGTGTGCGCGAATGTTTCATTTCGAATTGATCAATTACCTTATTACGCATATTTGGGTTGGCACCACTTTCTAGCAGAACGTATATAACTGTGGAATGGCCTTGCTGTGCAGCCAAATGTAAAGCATTTGATCCCATGCATGTAACAGCATTCACATCAGCACCCTTACCTAAAAGAAATCGGACCATATTAACCTGCAAGAAAGAGAATAAAGAAGTGAACTAGCTGTTGAGTGATTACGAAAAATTAAAACTTTATCAAATCTCCCTATCTATGTTATACGCTTCAACCGCAGGGACAACAAGCTGAGATTCACCTTAGTAGAAGGCTTTCATTAGTGTGCTATGACCCCTATCATTTTCGAAACCATAAATAGCCCATAAACACAATATGTTCCTTGAATGTTGCAAATTTTAAATCTTGATGATTTTGAGCATCATCACCAGGCATTATAAATTATGCAACTCATAATCTCATTTGGGATGAAGTATTAACCCACTGGTTTCCAAAGGTAATTTATCTCTTGGCGCCTAAATTTCATTCTTACCTTAGGTGAATTTTTCAGTCAAGTTAAACAGTACAGCTAAGTTTTCATTGAGACGATGGTATGAACTATGTATACATAATATATTATCCATTCAAAAAATCTTTATTCTTCATTAAAAAAGGATTTCTTTCATTTTATTGGACTGAGTAATAATTTTTTGTCATAATGATGATATTTGTACTTCGGAAGATATTTTAAGAGAATATGATATAATTCTAGTGCAATTTAGGAAGAAATGTACGTATTCATGCATCTAGCAATGGATCACAACAAAGGCTTAAATCTTAATGAAGCCTTCTTGTTACTTATACCGCTAAGTTGGATCCAAATTCCTTATGCAGTTTCAAACAGTCAACACACACTAGCCAGGGCTCCAGCTCACTTAATAGAAACTGTTAATCAGGCCAATTTCATAGGTCAAATTAGATGTCTGCCTTATTTCTTATATAAAACTACTGTCGAGTGATGACACACAGAATGAATGCATTATTTAGAGCGAATTTCTCTTAGTATATTCAAAATACAAAAATTAGTTCCAAAACAATTAAATACAATCTGTTTCACTCTTGTGTAAAACGCCAGTAGACATTGCAAAAAACAACCATCATCATAGACATTTTAACTTACTTGACCAAAATGACAGGCTGTATGCAAAGGTGTATAACCTGCTTTTGTTTTAACATCTAATTCAGAACCAGCAGCAAACAGTAAATCCGCAGCTTTAACACTATCCTCCTGAGCTGCTAAATGCATAGCTGTAAGGCCGTTCTATAAGGAATGAAAGAGAGAATGTAACAACAGTCAAAAACTGGAAGTTGTTGCTTCACTTAATCAAAGAAAGCTATGAAGTCAAATATGTTTTCTTCAAATATAAGGGTATTTTTACAAAATCACTGACTAGGTGCATGCGACTTCATAATCTAATATAACATTTTCATGAAACCACAAGTTCTTTGAATCATCAAAACAGTATGTGTTTTGTGAAATTCAGTAGGTAATTGTGTTAGAATTGATTAACTTAGTCTACGTCTCCTCCTCCTTACTGACATTAATCAAAGGGGTATATTAGTAAGCTGAGAAAAAAAACATTCACTTCCTGTTTAAAATCAGGGATTTAGCGGTAAAAATTAGAGGCATTATGTCTAAAAATTCTCGTTATGACAAATCTCTTATGTGGGATCGTTAGCTTATCTCCTCAGGATAACTATACTGTAAAATTTTCTGATCCGTCCTAAAAGAATTTATTTACAATACTGATGGCTTTGTACCTTCTTCAGCGAGCTTGTTGCTTAGGGGAAGTGAACAAAACTTGTTACCTCTAGTTACAGTGTTGATGACAACTTGTTTAAATCACGGAGAAGCTGTTATGTTGTGTAAAAAAAGAAAACTTTGTTAGTGCATTCGATAAGTGTCAAACAACAATCCAAAGACTAATCCTTATTAAAAAGGAATCAAGAATTCAAGCTGAATGATTGTCAATCTAAATAAATTGAAAAGACAGGTTAGTAGGGATATTCTTTTCGTAATTTTACTGGGGAACAAGAATATTGTTCATATTAAGAGTGAGAGATTCACAAAATATATTTAAAGTAAGGAGGCTGAAATTAAAGAAGGAAAACAACGAATTGATGTACAAGCTAAAAAAAAGGTTTAAGGCTAGGGGATTAAAATGGACTTAACAAATAGCTTTTGTATACACAGTTTAGGGATTTCCTTGTATATAGCAAGAGCTTCAACCGTAGACAGAAGATATAGGCAGAAACCCTGAGATCTTAAACACATATATCTCATAAATAAATCATTATGGATCTATTAGTGTCATTTCCTTTACTAGCTTTTCGTTCACCCTGCTTACCACTTACGCAATAATTTTTGATACCTATGTCTATGGTCTTCCCGCTAATACCCGAATGTTTTCCGAACGTTTTCGTATAATACTAGATCTATAACCTGAAATCACTAATGTTCATAGTCTCGGTTACAATTTGAGTAATCTTCGCTACTTCGAAATATTTCTATGATTTACACAAAATGAGAAAGTAATTCATTTCTATTTTCTATCCCTTTTTGCTGTGTTTGACAGACTGTACAACAATGAGAATGAATTCTGAGAAACAGTTCTTAAAAAACCATTATCGTCAAATAGAGAGTAGGATATAATAAACTCATTAATTGCAATGAATTCAAGAGAAATTTCTAAAATACTGATTAGTGAACAACGAATATTTTTTTCGATAACTTTTCCATCAGGTTCTAGAGCTATATATCAGCAGTAGTTGAAGAGTTACTATTACTAACAACTTTACTGTTTCAAATAACATCGAATAAATAAAATCGAATTCACATGTGTAGAAGAATCCATAAGGAAAATTGTCTTCTTTGATGTCCTTGCAACAAGAAAACCAAATAGTGACATAAGAAGAAATGTGCATAAAAAATTACTTGTCCAAGACAGTATTCACATTTCCACTCTGCACTACAAAAGAAATTTGGTAAGAAAACTCAGCTGCAGGATGAGCTAAATGTTCAGATGTGATGAGAAGTGAACTTAAGACCGTATATGACACCTTAATTCATTAGGAAACACATGGGCAGGAAAGTCAAAAACAGCTGTTATTTGTTTGTAAACAAGAAGCCTCTCTAGATGAAATTCAAAGGTGACGTACCAAGAGAAATAACAACCAAGTTACAGAAATTGATTCGAAGAACTTATAGTGCCAGTAAACTGCAGTCCATATTTTTCACACAACTGGTTGTGATTTCTCAACTGAAAGACGAAGTACCTAGATTTGACATCTCTTCTATTACCTATCAATTACACTACTCTTGGGGAGCCAGTAATGGTGGCCGTTACCCTAGGAACTTAGCTCTTTGTGCTTGAGAATACCTATCAGTGTGGCTAAATAAAGGTGTAGTTCGATATTAGATCACATGGTCCAAACAGCACATAAAATATCTTTTTTTATCATCTGTCGGGTATCAAATAAATTGCTAAAAGTCTATGGGTACAGAATACTCTAAACGGCAGAGGCTATTGTAATTTACTTAAAGCAACAGGAACTTCACAGGCAAAGGAAACAGGTTCAACCACTACTACTGACCTGGCCTCCTGCGGAATCCATAAATTCGTAAATACTGTATTACATCGCACCTTTTAGTTATGACTTTCCAACCTGTGTGTATAAATTCTCTCCACCCCTTCTTATTGCATTTGTTTAAAAAACCTTATATTTGCTTTATTCAGCTATAACAACCCACAAACTTAATTGTTGGATGGTGACTAACAGTGGAATCCAGGATGCGCACTTCGTCCTATTTGGGACTCGTCACTGGATGAACCTGCATTCCACAGTGAGTGATGATGTTCCCACTGATTATCTATTAACAATCTATTCGCATTTATCTCTCGGAATTTTGATGTCAAAGATTCGGAATATGCCTTGATGTAACGGAGATTTGTAACTCAGGTGGATGGTTGTGATTTAAATCAAAAAGATTGACGTTCTTTGTCTAATAATCTGACTCTTTCGAAGTTTCCAGTAGACAGCCTTCAATCAATTCAAAATGATTTTTTACAGTACATAATCATATTGTGCATAATTTTCAAGAGATTTCAAGTAAATTATGAGTTGTCTGAGACTGCCACATAGTTCAAGTAGATTATTATTTTTATAACGGTGTCGTTCAACTAAAATTTTGAAGTTGCATATGCACTAAAATTCAGGAACCACTAATCATCCGATCTTTTGCTAATTAGGAATGCATCAGAAGCCTCGGAAACACCATGTGATATCAATTCATCGATTGATATGGCAGTAACATTGATATAAGAATAAAACTTGTGCACTGTGGTATAGTATAATTCCATTATTGGTAAAATTTATTTTGATAAAGTCTTTATCAAAATAAATTTTACCAATAATGGAATGGCAGTAACATGCTTTATTTATTATGAGTTACCACGTTCTTCGGCAATCAGTCAGTCGGTCGGTTTTGGACATAGAACTTTGCAATCAATGTAATCTGAAGTATGATTATCCTTCAAAAGGGTTAAAAGTGATCAGATCAAAACATACCATTAATCTATGAGTTTATTTATTATTGGGCTATATCACTTGAATAGAGGTAGTTCATTTGTCTGTGATCCTAAAGCCATTAAGAATCAATGCGATACGAAGTCACCAAAAGCCATTAACTGATGAGGTAGGAGATTTTGTGCTTCAATTGCAAATTTATGATGTTGTGTGGACATGATAATCCTATTGGATAACCTGATACCAAATACCTGACCTTATACAACCAATCAAATTAGTTCATAAACCACTGACCTAGAGTATTTTATGTGTATCGGAAAAACATATTATGTAGTGAAGTTGTTCTTACAGTCAGACCAGTTTTCATCTTCCGATATTTTTCAGGTTCAGCGAAACAGGTATTCGAGGTAGGACGGTCGTGTTCGGTATTAGCACACTGATCTAACGGCAGGGAGGGTATGAATCCTGTCATTCAGTGCATAATGTGATTGCAAGGCTGTGCAACCCAAAAATATTTAGATAGACATCCAGAGAAGGATGCATAAAGATCTAAGCTACTATCGCTCATTTCGTATGTAATATGATCCTGCAAATCATCCATCAACTAGGGAGTTCACATTTTCATATATTTGTAAAACTTGGGCACTCAATTAGTAAGTAATTCCATATTAGTTTGTTTATTAAATGTATCACACAGTGAAACAGTATTATTTACTGGATGACGTTTCGAACAAAATTTATTGTTCATAATCATATCAATTATAATCACATCACTTCAAAACTTGAGTTTTATAGTCTTCTTTGTTCCCTCCTATTTGTCGTAGGGTTAGTCGGATTTTCCAGATATCTGGGACAGGTGTTGAATCATTCCTATTACACGTATTTGCGGTTGATTCGATAAACAAAGCTTCTGTTATCAATCTCCCCCTCCACCCTGTGATATTAGATTTTAAAGCTGTCATCCTATCTCATCCTATTGTATGGTTGTGTGTTAGTGCATGTAGTGATATAGCTGATCTATTCTCTAGATTTCTTATCTTATTCGGGTCAACCAATCTAGATTTCGCTAGGTTTTTATGCTATAATGAAGAAAAAGTGGTTAGTTTTGACATTGTCAGTTTATATACACGTATACCAATAAATATGGCTATAGAAGCAGTCAGAAACAAACTCATTTCTGACCAAGAACTAGAACTTAGGACGAAAGTGCCACTTGAGGACATAATGCTGGAAGTGCAGCTATGCCTGACTTCCACAGTATTTAAATTTCAGGGGAAAATAGACAAGCAAACTGAGGGAGTTGCCATGGGGTCACCAATATCCCCGATCATGGCAGATATTTTCATGGATAGGTGGGAAAAATATCAATTGAAACGTTCACCCCCACCCCAAAAGTATGGTGGAGGTATGTAGATGACACATTCACTGTACTTAGAACACAGGATATATATAGATTTTTCGAACACATTAACTCAAAGGTGGAGGCAATTCAATTCACTTATGAGCTGGAAAGTCAGGAAGGGAAACTTCCAATGTTAGGTGGTAGCGTAAAAAGGAAAGAAGATGGGAAGTTAAACACTAATGTTTACAGGAAACCCACACGTTCAAACAGATATTTAGACTTCCGATCATCCCATCGTATGTCAGTGAAAATAGGATTGGTGAAATGCTTAAATAATAGAGCACAGAAACTAAGTAGTACCAAGGAAAATCTAAGACAGGAAGTGAAGCATATAGGAGATGCCTTGAAACTTAATAATTACCCTGATAAATTAGTCAGGAAGTATATAGGGAAATGTAAAACTAAAATAAATAATGATAGTGGTGATAGTGATAAAACTAATACTAATACTAATAATAATGGTAATATTAACGACGACATGCATGTCAAACATGCGCAAGACAACACCAACAATAAGGAATCTAAATCATCAGCAGTAATTCCATACAAGGAAGGAACCCCGGAAACCTTACGCGGAATTCTTAAGAAGGCAGAAATGAAAGTGGCATTCAAAACCGTAACCTCCATTAGAAACAAGCTTTGTCGGTTAAAGTGTCCTGTGGAGCCTTTAAAACAAAACAATTTAGTTTATCTAATACCCTGCCTGCAATGATTGTCAGGTCAAATACATAGGTCCAACTAGTAGAACAAGGGCAATCAGACTAGCCGATCATAAAAACCTAGCGAAATCTAGATTGGTTGACCCGAATAAGATAAGAAATCTAGAGAATAGATCAGCTATATCACTACATGCACTAACACACAACCATACAATAGGATGAGATAGGATGACAGCTTTAAAATCTAATATCACAGGGTGGAGGGGGAGATTGATAACAGAAGCTTTGTTTATCGAATCAACCGCAAATACGTGTAATAGGAATGATTCAACACCTGTCCCAGATATCTGGAAAATCCGACTAACCCTACGACAAATAGGAGGGAACAAAGAAGACTATAAAACTCAAGTTTTGAAGTGATGTGATTATAATTGATATGATTATGAACAATAAATTTTGTTCGAAACGTCATCCAGTAAATAATACTGTTTCACTGTGTGATACATTTAATAAACGAACTAATATATATTCATCATAAATTATTTAAATTAATCCCAGAGTGTTTAAGAAAAAATCAAAAGATTTTTCGGAACGTTTCATTTTGTAAGCCACAGCTTATTCATCAGATTTATTCGGGTTTTATTATTCTCTATAGTTTGGTTTGTAAGGATTAGTTATGTTTTACGAGTTGATCACGGACTGATATCAGTTAGAGAACCATTGAAAACCAGGGAGTACTGGACAGCTGCTGTTTCATCCTAGTTTATTATTCATCAAAATATATAGTCAAAAATTTTGTACGTAAATTGAAGTCAGTTTATTTGAAGGTCACTTGAACATAGATATTTGTACCAATAGAAATATGTAAGCAGTCATCATTTATTTGTAATGAGTAATGTCAAATTGTAATTATGTATACATATTTTTCCTATAGTTGGTTTGTAAGGATTAGTTTTGTATGAGTGTGTGAGTGTACGTTGTCATATGGAAAAGACATCAATTCGCATGTGACAAATATGATAATACATTTTTTTACAGGATTTCATCATGAGGTGACATTGGTTAGAGAACCATTGGAAAACCTGGGAGTACTGGACAGCTGTTTCGTCTCAGTTTGGGACTCTTCATCAGTGCGCACCCACCGGGGTTCGAACCCAGGACCTTCCGGTTACAAGGCGATCTCGTAGATTTTATTTTTTTTATTTTTAAAGCTTATAGGGAGTTCAGATTTTCCTTCCCCAAAGTAAAATATTCAAAATAAGTATCAAGTGTATAAGTATCAAATGTGTTAGTCAACTAGTCTAAAATTTGTTCAATCAAATTTCCTCCATATGAACCTTATTGTAAACTCAGGATTTTTATTGTAGTTGCTACATTTCTCAATCATATTAAAAGTAGGTGTGGATGAGGAAATGGGAGGCACTGATGCTGATTAGTCATGGGTAATAGATTCATACTATAGGGGGAAGGGAAAGTAGCAAGCCATTTCAAGGTTGTAGACGGTCTTAGCCACAACTTTTTTATGATCTATACCCTTCATTCTAACATTCTTTCAGTACGACCCAATTTGTGATTGATGCTATTCCTACTTATTATTATTACTACTTTTCTGAATATGTGACCCCCCTTACTTCATTTCACACATTAATTATTTCATGATGAACTATTTACTATAGTCTCCATATGAATTTGTTTATTAGATGTATCACAGTTACGAAGACAATTTACTGTTCGTAATCATATCAGTTGTAATCACACAACTTCGAAAATTGTTTTTTATTCTTTCCTATTTGTCGTAGGGGTAGCAAAATTTTCCACATGTCTGGGACAGGTATCGAATCTCCTGCAAACACGTCTAATAGGAATGACTCGACATCTGTCCCAGACATCTGGAAAATTCTGCTACCCCTACGACAAATAGGAAAGAATAAAAAACAATTTTCGAAGTTGTGTGATTACAACTGATATGATTACGAACAGTAAATTGTCTTTGCAACGTCATCCAGTAAGTGATACTGTTTCATTGTGATACATCTAATAAACAAATTATTATCGAATTACACACTACCACAGTGGTGAAGTTGTACAGTCTACAGTCTTATTTTCTCCTTTGTAACGCATACTCACTCAGTGCATTTTACAACGTTGAACTGACTTATCAATTTTCATTCCCCAAATTGTATGAATCTATCATTGGTGACTAATCTCCGTCATAATCGTCTCGCATTTGCAATTGCATTCAATCCAGCACGTTCGTCACACAAATGATATTTATTTTATCACTCTATAAGTATAACTATTAATCTGTTATTCTTCGTAAAAATGCATTCGTGGCATAACTGGCTATTATTGTTAAGATAAAGAACATTATTATTATTTTATAACTCCAATAACCTGAAGAGAATTCATTGAAAAAAATGTCCTTCGTTCAGATCGACTTGTAATCCACTATATGGGAATATTTCACACTCTTAAATTTCAATCATGTTGATAAGGTAAAGAAAAAAATAATAAAGAAAGACTGGTTATAAACAATGCAAACACTCATATTATTACAAACAAGAACTTACTTTAGCTAAAGCATTCACCTTAGCTCCTGAATCTATCAATAACTTTGTCATTTTTTCATTACCATCTTGACACGCTAAGTGTAGTGGTGTAAAACCATTACGTGATTGTATATTACAACAACCATTATCATCGTTATTTTGACCTTCATTTTTAGTTTTGTCATCACCAGTAGCTGCAATCAGTAGTTTAGCAATATCTACTAAATGCTTCTCAGCTGCTATATGCAGTGGGGTGAAACCATTTTTAGCCTGAGAAACCGGAGATGCCTAAAAAAAGAAGTATGACAAATAAAAAGAAGCAAAATTGAAAGCTACATAGTACTTCTGCAGCTATTCATTTTTTTTTGTAATATTAGGCACAAATTTAAACTGATAGATTGTCGACCTATGAATATTGTCTTACTCTTCTACTTTATTATGCTGATACATCAACGCTAATTGAATAAGAGATGCATACCAAAGTAAATATCTGAGACACCTCTCGACTACACTTGACTGCCTTTATGAATAAATACGGCATTGCAAATTCATCCTACTTGGTTAGGTCAGTGATGGAGTTGATTCACAGTAAAACATCTTACAGATATTCAAAACAGACATATTACTGACAAAGCCTTTTTGACTTATTCATCACATTCTTAATAAGCGTACTGGTGAAGAGTCCCAAACTAGGCTGACGAAACAGCTGTCCAGTACTCCCAGGTTTTCCAAAGGTCCTCTGACATATGTCACTTCATGATGAAATCCTGAAATCAATCAAATCCCCTCAAACCAAAACTTGCGCTTAATTTTACTTTACATGTTCGTCTTTTACACATAGTGGAAGTCATCAGAATTCACCTCAGAAAAGCAAACCTGTGAGTTCAGGAAAGATTAATACAGTCACCTATTTTATCTTGGTTGTCTGCATAACCCAAAATATATATTATTATTCTCTAAGGTTCCGAGTGGAACATAGGGCCTTAGCAGCACATCTCCACTTTACTTTGTTCTGTACATTCGGTTTTTAGCTGGCTCCACGATTAGCTATAAGCTTTCATTTTCTCCTAACATTATCTCCTCCATGTCACCCTCGAAGCGACGCCTAACTTGATGTTTCCCACTTAGGTTCCATTCTAAGGCCTGACATGTGAGGCCACTCAACAATCTCCTCAGATTGTGTCAAATCTGTCTAGATTTCCTTCTGCATATTTGCTGGGTGATAGATTCTTGGCAATTTCCCCTCCACCTTTATTCTAATTACAAACTATTATTATTTCCAACATTAATGTTGTTTAAATGACATCGAATCAATAATAATATCAATAGATTACAGTTCATCAGCATCAACATAACACTACACACTAAATATCAGAAAAATTAAGAAAGATAACAATACAAATTTATGAATTTATAGTCTACACTGAAGACCAGGCTAGCACTAGTGGCTGGTTGGACTTGGTTCTTTTGCACACAAAGCACTGGCTGTTTCACGAGAATCGCGATAGCTTCTGCTGTTTGGTGTTCGCGATACTTGGATGTTTTTGGCATTTTATTTGGTACCCGGTAGATAACAGAGAGAAGGATTTTTAGAGTCTTATTAATTTACTTTTTTTCACCCCTTATTATTCTTACATAGTTAAATTTAAGCGCTGACTAATCATTCACTCTTATTCTTCATGAGATAAGATGTGCACTATGTTTTAGTTTTCATAATTTTACAGTGTAATTGTGTTTCAACTCTTTAACTGTTCCCTTGTTGTTGTTTATTGACGGAGTTAATCCATTTTTACTTATTGATATTGATGAATGATTATCTTAACAAATCTAAGATTACTAGGTAGGTGTATTATTGATCGTATTAACGTAATGCCATGTGTTAGATTTGAGACATTGGCGATGATCTAGTTAAAAAGTAAATACATTTTCTTGTTTGCCTTGTTCTTCCCCTTATCTTTAAGTGGGGATCTTTACTGTATCTGGTTTTTCAGTTATTAGACTGTATTAGCGTGTAATTAGTGCCCATACAGAGACAAGGCTGACTGTTAAGACATGTTTCTATACTATTAAGATAGGGTTATTAGTCAACTAGATTTAGAACACATTAATTTTAGTGTGTTTAAATGCCCTAACAGTTTATTATTAGCCATTAGTACGTCAATACTGTTTTAATTTTTTAGAAATCTACTTGTTGTGTCAGTTATACCACTTTCATTGTAGTATGGGTTGGATAGGACTGACAGCATGAGATGTGTTAATGAGTTACTCAAAAGTCAGAATCATGAGTGAACTAGCAATTTGGATACATTTATTCCGATGTATCCAAGTAGCTTAGCTGTATGTTGTTTACCCTCAATCTGGGATAGGAAGACTGTTACTCACTGAATTCAATATATAGCTGTTTGTGATAGAAACACACAAATATTCTTCTCACATTATCATGCGAAACCTAGAGAACTGGACTGTTAACCAGTCATTTGAAACGGGATCTTTATTGTGTCCTCATAAAAATGGATGGTTTGGAAAAAGATTCATTCATGTTTCCTATAGACTAATGCTCTTAAATAAGAGAGGAAAGGGTCACCGAAACCAACATTCAAGGCAGAATGACGAATTTACGGGGAATTTTATTAATAATACGACTAAAACAATTAGAACAAGAGTAAATACACAATCATAAAATTACATTTTAATATGATTAATAATAGTCTTAAAAACGTCCTCAGTAAATTGTGGTGTGATTGCGAACGAACCTTGACGCGCTTTTCGATTAGTATGCTTCATTTGCTCAGTTACATAAAACTCTTATTTCTTTGGCGCTTCTTGACAAGAAGTCATGGAATTTATTGCAATTATTTGACTTTCGAACACTGAATCTGTGGATATAATCTTGTTGACCGATAATACCTATAACTATCTGTTTGCTATTTTGTGACTGTTTAACATTATCTAGTATCCATTATAGCATATATTGTTGGACTTACTCAATTTGACCCAAGTCAGTGAGTCTATGGTTTTGATATCATTTTTGTCAACTTTTTTTTTGACAGTGATACTACTGCTACGGTTCTTTTATTGTTGTTATCGCTGCCCTTCCTGTTGTAAATCTTTTTTCCTTTGGCTTGTGTTGTCCTCATTGCTTTATTTCTTGATTTCCTGATTCTAAGGGGAGCAACTCAAAAAGTCACTCTTCTGGAAACTATATATTAATGTAACAACCCCCTTCTAAGATGTGAGGCTAGCAACCCCACCCTGTAAACAAAGTTGCTACAGAAACCTGAGCACGATGAGTCTCCTCGCGAAAAAAGAAGTCTATGTGGGGACATGGAAAGTCCGCACCATATACGAAACTGGTGAAGCTGCCCAGATTGAAAACGAGATGAAAAGATACGGAATTCAAGTACTGGGAATATGCGACAGCAGATGGAATGGGAGTGGACTCACCAAAGTGTCAACGGGAGAGTGTATAATCTACTCCGGTCATCCAGAAGATAACCACATGTACACGGAGGGTGTGGTTATCATGATGTCACCAACGGCAAAGAAGGCGCTCATGCAATGGGAGGCGATCTCACCCAGGATAATAACCGCCAGATTCAACTCCAAAGGAAGGAAAGTGTCAGTTATACAATACTATGCACCGACAAACAACGCAGACCTCGGAAAGAAAGAAGAATTCTACAGACAACTACAGGCAACAATGGACAATACTCCAGCTGGTGACATCAAAATACTAATGGGAGACATGAAAGCCAAATTGGGATCAGACAAAACAGGAAGGGAACTCATCATGGGTAGAGAAGCTCTCGGAGAAATGAATGAAAACGGAGAACTCTTCGCCGACTTCTGTGCCTTCAATGAACTAGTGATTGGTGGCAGCGTATATAAACACAAGGATATCCACAAGGCTACATGGGTGTCACCAGACGGGCGAACCAAAAACCAAATCGACTTCATCTCAATCTCAAGGAAGTGGAGGCGCAGCCTACTGGACACAGAAGTGAGAAGAGGAGCAGACGTTGGCTCAGACCACTACCTCGTACGAGGGACAATCCAAATCAAATTAAAAGCTTTCAGAGAATCAGGGGCTGCAGATAGACCACAAGCCAAGTTCAACACTCAAAAACTGAAGGACCAGGACACAAAGGACATCTTCACTGCAAGTATAAAAGACAAAGCCGAGACACAAATCAACACTGGCGAAGAGGTCAACGTCGAAAAACACTGGAACAACTTGAACACAGTGTGGAGCCAAACCTGCATGGAAGTTCTAGGCAGAAGGAAGAGACAGGACAAACAGTGGCTCACTACGGACACTTGGAGACTGATAGAAGAGAGAGGGATGGTGAAACAAAAGATTCTCCAGTGCACCGACGAGCAACAAAAACAAGATTTGAATGCGAGCTACAAGACACTGAACAAAAGAGTGAAGAAGACTGCCAGGGAAGACAAAAGATAATATAAGGAAGCTATGGCAAGTGAAGCAGAACAAGCTGCAGGCAAAGAAGACCTCGCAACACTCTACCAAACAACTAGGTACCTATCGGGCAAACGTTTGACACAAATCAAGCCAGTGAAAGATGACAACGGAAAGACACTCACCAAAGAAGTGGAGCAAAGGAAACACTGGGCTGAACACTTCAAAAGACTCCGAAATCGACCACCACCTACAACGCACCCAACGATACCAACAACGGAGACAGAGCTACCAGTGAACACCGACCCCCCGGCGAGAACAGAAATCCTGAAGGCAATCAAGATGCTAAAAACTGGAAAAGAAGCAGGACCAGATGGAATCCCAGCAGAAGCATTGAAAATGGACCCAGAGACATCAGTGGACTTGATGACACCACTACTGGAGAAGGTGTGGAAAGAGGGCAAGGTACCTGCGGATTGGAAGAAAGGCTACTTATTCAAACTGCCAAAGAAAGGAGACTTAAGTCAATGCAAGAACTGGCGCGGAATTATGCTTCTGTCTATCCCAAGCAAAATATTAAACCGTATTATCCTGGAGAGAATCAAACACACCCTGGGTGAAAAACTTCGACCGGAACAGGCTGGATTCAGGAGAAACAAGTCATGCATTGATCAGATCGCCACATTACGGATCATCATTGAACAAAGCCTGGAATGGCAGTCACCTCTCTACCTCAACTTCATCGACTTTGAAAAGGCCTTTGACAGCGTCGATCGAGAGGTGATTTGGAAACTACTTCGCTACTACGGTGTGCCACCGACAATTATACATCTCATCCAACAGCTGTACGACAATGCTGCATGCCAAGTAATCCACAACGGGAAACTTATGGAACCCTTCGAAGTAAGGACAGGAGTAAGACAAGGCTGGCTGCCTACTATCACCAATGATTTTCCTGATTGCGACAGACAAACAGCGGGCAACGAGGAGACGGGCATAAAATGAACTCACACAAAAAACTTGGAGGATCTGGACTTCGCCGATGATATATGTCTGATTTCCCACAAACTAGAAGATATGCAAGGGATGAAAAGCAACAAGTTGGCAGAAGAAGCATCAAAGAAAGATATGAATTCAGGTGAACATAGAGAAAACAGAGGTAATGAAGATTCCTGGACAAGAACAACCACAACAGATAACGATCAGCATAAATGGAAGGAACCTGAAAGAAACAACCTCCTTTACCTACCTACCTGGGAAGCATCGTCTCAACTACAGGCGAAAGGAACTGACGAGGATATCAAAGCGAGGATTGGGAAAGCAAGACAAGCTTTCACTACTCTCAAGTCTGTGTAGAGGTCAACAGCACTCAGAATGAAAAATAAGGTTCGGATTTCCAACTCCAATGTGAAATCATTGCTACTTTATGGATCAGAGACTTAGCGCGTCATGAAGAGCACCTCAGACAAACTGAAGACCTTCATCAAAAGATGTCTTCGCTCAATACTCAAGATCAGATGGCCAGAAAATATTAGCAACAGGGACCTATGGGAGCGAACCAAACAGGAACCGATTCTGAAACAAATATGCAGGAAGAAATGGAAGTGGATTGGCTATACTCTGAGGAAACCATCAAGTGATATCACAAGACATGCCATTGCTTCAGTGGAACTCAAAAGGGAAGCGGCGAGTTTGTCGTCAGTGCGAGGATGACACGGAAGAGGTCACGTGAAGAAGAGATGAAAGCATGTGGGCAGATGTGGAGCCAGGTGAAAACTTTGGCAGAGAACCGACCTCAATGGAGAGGTGCGGCTGAGACCCTATGTTCCTCTAGGAACTAAAGGAAACAATAATAATAATAAATTGTGGTGTAACCCTTAGAAAACTCAATGTCTCAAGGGGAATGAGACATTTAACCCAACAAATCAGAGTCGGTATTTGGCTGAGATATTGTATAAGGACGCACAAAACTAAATTAGACATAGGTTAATACAGCCTTATAAGGGTGATATAACTTACATTTTTATTGCGAAATATCGCAGTATTATTAATGATCAGTTAATTTGAACATACGACACAGTACTTCTAAACTATTCACAATCATGAATTTGTACTATTTTCACTGTGTTTACTATGAGTGATTACTTTTTGAGCACTTACGCAGACACGCAGACTAAGTCTGTAATCAAGGCAGACTGTTACACTTACTGTTAACTATTAATATTAACCAATGAAACCGACCTAGGCGTTAATTTACTTCTCTTCACATAGAGGGAATGTGTCATAAAAGAAGAATTTCTGTTATTACGACTACCTTTGGTATATAAATTTTAACTACTGTTATTATAATTTTCTAAGCAAACTAAAAGTTAATCCCATTTGAATATAGCAGGTGTAATTTGAACAAATAAGTACAGAATTTCAAGCTCTTTGATAACTTACCTTACTTTCTAATAATAATTCAACTATAGGTAATGATCCATAGTGTGTAGCTAAGTGTAAAGGTGTTAACCCATTGCGTCCAGCGGCATTCATATCAGCACCTGATAGAAGTAAATATTTAACTGTATCTAAATGTGAATGCTTTACAGCTAAATGCAGTGGAGTGAATCCAGACTGTCCGGTTGAAGAGGTATGTGGAAAAGAGGAGGTGAGAAATATAAAAAAATAATTAGTGAGTTGCTTGGATATTCCCATAATTTATTCACGACAAAAATAGTTAGACTAAACAATTTTTTTCAATAAATTCTTCTTCAGGCTCTACAATTATAAATCCATTAATTTAAGCATACAACAGCCAAGTCAGTAAAGGCAAATTAGAATCATATCAGAAAGTATATTGTGGAACAAGTATAAGATGGGATGGAACAATAGTCAGATAGTTTTTTAATATGCATGGTCAATGAGAACATGGGACAAAATCAGATGAAGTAATTTAATTTAATGATGTGTGTGTATATATAAATATAGTCAACAGAAAATACAGGTTTCGAGAGTGTGTGTAATCAGTGGTGTGTGAGACAATATGAATACTACAGAAAATAAACCAGACGTAAGTTCGAGGGTGAAAATAACGACAATAACAGATTGTGAAATAATAATGAAGACGTGGTGTAAACTTAAAAGTACACTTAAACTAATGGATTTATAATTGTACAGCCTGAAGAATTTATTTAATACCCTTTGCACAAGAGGGGGCTCTAGTGGCCCACTGGTGTAGCGGGTAACACCTCGTCATTTGAAACGATGGGTGCCGAAATCAAACCACCACTCATTAACCAATCCTAGATAAGATAAAACCCGCGTCCTGCATTCCACAGCTAGCCACCATCAACTAAATAACAAAAGCATCTAATATAAATGAAATGATACGAACGAAGTTTATCCAGTGAAATATTTTTATTTGTTTTCGTGCCTTGTAGAACAAAGGTAAGCGAAATCAAGCGATTTTGTCCTATTTTCAGTATAAGGGGGTTAACACTGTGGTTAACCTGGATTTCTCCTGTTAAGAGTTATTCCGACCTCATTGCATATTTGTTGTACCCTACTGTTTCCCTAACCCACTGACATTAAATTGATACTACATTTTGTGTAAAATTAATTATAAGAAGTTTGTTTCAGTGTTACCGATAAAAATTGTGCCAATCTATTTGGTCATAGCCAGTCATATGCAAGAGATCAATCAAGAATCAGGCACAGAAATTAACCACTTTATATTTCGAAAAAGGTAGAAAGAGAAGAGAACAGGCATAAACAAGGAAATGGGTCAAGATGTCCAGGAATTCAAAGATGATAATTAATGAAATATTCCAAGCTATGCTATCATCAGGAGTCTACACTTGTTGATTTTTAACGTCTTCAGAATCCAAAATAGATAATCTGCTTTATGAACTGGTGACATGTTTCTTTTTATCTACACCTAGAGTTTTTCAAACTTGTCTTCCTTTGGCTAACCCTTATCAACAAAGATTTCATTTTCACTGATATATATATATAATTTTTGATTATAGTTTGAAACCACACAGTATTTTTGATACAAGTATGGAATTTTCAGCATGTGATATGGGTAGCCAAAGTTTGCAGGCCAACCATTGATGTCAGGTGTGCGTCGGCAAGGGATCGAACCCCGGACCATGTGCATGGTCGGCGAGAGTCCTAACCTCTGTGCCGCAAACGCCGATCAAGTTAATCCTACCTTTAAATTGTGACCTGAACTGCACTGAAATGTATCAAGGGTGCTAACTACTCCTCCGAAGTTCAGTGGAAGAAAGGTGAAAGGTCGTTATATTTCGTGTTCTATAAAAATAAAGACTTAGGTAGTAAGTTCGAGGGTAAAAATAACGACAATAATATTGATTGTGAAATAATAATGAAAACGTGATGTAAAATTAAAAGTATTACTGGTGAACGATTATCACATAATAATAATAATAACAATAATAGTAATAATACTAATGCTGTGGTGAGAGCTGTCTACTAGCCAAATTGGTAGATAGTAATTTACGTCAATGTTTACGTTCTCAAGATTTGTCGTGAGAAAATATTAACAAGATTGATGCAAAACCGACCACAGCAGCCTTTGCGTAGGCGGATACAGTTAACACATAGATGATCTGACATTCAAGAAACAGTCACAAAGAGATGGAAGATTAACTTTAAGTGAGAAACCACGAATCAGAAGACTGTGTTGTTTACTTAATTAAACCATAATAATGTACATGAAAATATATAAATATGCTTTAATTTCCTTAATAAACGATCTGTTGCGTGGCCCTTCTCTTCTGTTGTTACAATACTAATACTAATACTCATACTAGTACTACTACTAATAATAATGATAACAATAATAATAATAATAATAAATCTGATGAATTAAAATGAACAGGATTTTGCAAGTATGCTAACAACACCTGATTGAGCACGACAGGTGAGAGTATTAAAAAGTAGTCACTTTGAAATATTACTTTCAGTGGCTTATAACCACTAATTAATAAATCATCCTTCTGACGCACATTTTTGTCGATAGTTAGCGATTTTTTCAAACATGACAATTTGAATTGCCTTATGGTTTTCAAAACTTCAATGTTGGTAAGGCATGGGAAGACATCAGAGGAACTGTAACTGGAAAAACGTATTTTCCCCGATACGAATTTAAAACAAATAAAAAGTGTTAATAAAGCAGGATTTTATGTTTTTATTAGATTTCGGTGGAACTCATCAGTTGAATACTCTGCATACAATGTGATATATATTAAAAGTGAGATGTCAGTAGATACGTGACTGATAAATAAACTCAAATGAATTGAAAATATATAATGAAATTATTTCAAATTTCCATCGATTTGATTTTATTTAGCAGAAATTTTCAGTCTCTGTTAACATGTCGGCTGTTAGTACAAATGCCTTGCTAATGCTTCAGTGTTTTATATGGTAGGTTTGATTCTCAATAGAACCATTATTTTCAACTGGAGTACAAGAGTGGTGGTGTGATACAGACAATGTGTGCCAACGTAATATGATTCTCATATATTTTCATAGTTCAGTACTGCGTTGGCAACAGAATACTATGTATATTTGAACATTCTATTTCATGTTGTTTGGTGTAAACCGAAATCATACGCTCAGTGATTGCTTAACAAATATAAACTGTAGATATATAAAAAGAGGGTTGATTTTGATTGGACACTAGTAACTAGTGTGACGTGTCTAGTCCTTTCTTTGGTGCAGACTGAATTCTATCAGTCAGGTGTTTGCAATGTGGCCACCATTCTAGGTAGCTCGCCATCACGTGCACATTGATTTGATGAGTGCCAACTAGCACGAAACCTAGGTCCAAGGCTTCCTGCCGATTGCCTCCAACTATCAAATATCATCAAGAGGGTTGATTAATGAAAAATATACCTTTCATATAAGTATAAAAGTTGCGCACTGTGGTAGAGTATAACTCCATTTTAGATAAGATTTTATTTTGATAAGTCACACAGTGTTATACAGTAACTGATGACGTTTCGTGCACGAACTATTGCTCATAATTATATACCTTCCGTGTCTTGCCTCCTGCTGTGACACAAGTACATCCATTTAACGAGTTGCAAATAGGACGATTGAGAGTCCTAGAATTCACTGTTTTCCAATTTTTTTTATATAATGTATCAGAAACATTTTCTGACTTATTGTAAAATATTGTCATGATATTTTGAACCAACAGATTTAGGTAAAACTTATTGCAGCATCGATAAATCCATTCTTGGATGGACGAGAGACAACCAGTAAGTTCAGTGAACAATCGCATGTCACTCAGAGTTCATAGTATTATAACATATAATTTATAATATTCATTATTAATTATAAACTGTCTTTAGTGCAGTGGTAGGACGGCTACTAACCACACATTGTCTGGAGTCCGAACACCGGCCGACTCACTCCTAAACCTTGCTTAGCCAGTAGTAAGCCCAGTAAAGGAAGGTCGGGCATCAGGCTAGCAACCGTATTCCTTATAAAGAACACCACTGCTAATGCGAGTTCAAAACTGAAGCTTGGAGCCTTATATTCCACTGGGAACAGAAATAAGTAAAATAAACAATAATAATTAGTTACCTTGGTTGTTACTTCTAATTCAGCTCCATTTTTCAAAAGTAATTCACAAACTTCTTTGTGATTTCCTTTAGCAGCTAAATGTATTGGTGTGTAAGTGTCTTTAGTTACAGCTTGCACATTGGCAACATGTTCTAGAAGTAAAGTGACTAATTCAATATTACCAATACGTGAAGCTATGTGCAATGGTGTTTGATTACCCTGAATAAAGAAAGAAAAAAGCAGAATAAAATTGATAGACTTTAGTTTATATATTCAATGGTAATATAACTACTATTAAGTAGTGTGAATATTTGTTTCCAAAAATTAAGGACTTTATCGATTTTACTTTTTAGTTAGTGGTGCCACACATTCGTTATCAGTGTGAATTAGCTCTTAAATGCACTAGACACTTTCTGACTTATTTTCATAACAAAGGATAACGTTTCAAGGATATACCAACGTTGAAGTTTTGAGTCTACCACGTTACTTCTCTATTTAATATTCATCAACTAATAGCATCAAGTAGGAAATTATGGAAAAATTGTATGAGTTTTTGGCTACATTCCACTTATTTATCCGAATCATCCCGTTTAAGACATAGAATATAGCTAGTATAGTTATATCTAATATGACATCATGATGCGAAGTATATTGTAACCAACTAATTCGGTAATTCCTTTATGATAGGAGTAGTTAGAAACCAGTCACGTCAAACGGCAATTCTTCCTAGCTAAAGTGATCTAGATATCGAACGAGAAGCTAGATTCATCAGCCGTGCGCTTAAAAGACCTTGATAATATAGTCGACTCACTTTAAGCCTTGCCTAATCTGAATAGCTACTCGGTAAACGGATAATTGATAAAATACTATGTAACCTCTCGTGTATCGTGTCAACTATTGTGCAAATACTGCTGCTTGAATCCCAGTTCATAACGGTATAAATTATATCTTGAGAAACCTGTTATGTACTCGTCGCCAATATGTTATGGGGTCGTTGCCGATATTAGGGTGTGACCGAGCGTTAATATACGCTAATGAGATATAACGGACGATCACTTACAGACTGGTATTGCTGAGTAGTTAATTTGTCCTGAAGCGAAGGGGGAAATCAGAAAACCACCACGTTCACGATGATACGTGTATTTTCCAACAAGGAAAACTAACTGTCACACAAAGTGTGAGTGGAACTACCAAGTACGAAGAGGTGTGCAAGTGTGTTAGCTGTACAATTAGAGAGTATATATGAAAATGACTAACATACATGAACCAATAAGATAGACAGTAGTTTTTCTTACCATCATTGGATTCTGATTGGTTGTAATGTCATGTGACGAAGGTCATTCATTGGTTATTTAGTTAATGGACAGACAAAGCATATTGTGAGTTACAATGGAACAACGATCAATATACATATAGCAAACATATCAGACTGTCAAAACAAAACGGACATCATGTGACTACATATCAAATCCGAAAGCTTCATTTTGGTATAGATAGAGATCAGTGACTCAGTGTTCTACTGACTGATCAGATAATGATTTCACATTACATATCAAAGGTTTCGTTTACCATCATATGGGTAAATGATATGTTATTATATATATATATATTATATTAGATGTCTTACTACAGAAATCACAAAGTGAAACAGTATTTTCCCTTGAATGATTTTTGAAAGTGATTTCTTTTTCACGGCATCAAACACAAAATCACAACATTTAAGGTGTATGTTTGTATACTTTGAACTATTTACATTTTTTGCTTTTGTAGGAGTAGAGGAATTTCGCTTTGAAAATGACCAATTGCGTTCAAAATACTTTCCTACTAAATAATAATATTGTTTCACTAAGTTATATATCTAAAAATGACAACTATGCCGCTCAGGTAAGTGAGGTATACGACTTCCTTTAGGTTCTTACTGCTGATGATGATTTGTTAATAATGTAGATTAGCTACTTATGCATCCTCTCAAAATGTATCGCGAATCGGTTTTAATTTATTTATAGCTTATTATAAGATTATCAAATGCAATGCACATGTAGATTCAAAAGTCACTTCCGAGAATCACTAAAGTCTTGGTTCAGTGGTGATACCTACAGCTGAATAATGAACAGATTCAACACGTGAAATTACTGTTTTAATTATAATTATGTCCATGTTTCATTAATGATAAAATCTCAAAATCATTGTCAAATGATGTGACCTACAAGTTGAAACATATTACACTGAGAAAGTGAATGTTTAAAGTATGCCTTCAAGTGAAACTGATATTAAAAATGACAGCAAACTTCAAATCAGTTGAACGTAACAAAAGAGGCAATGTATACATAAATCCACTAATAAAAAGTAAAGGCATGAACAACTACCCAATAAGTGATTCTTACTTTTAGAAAAAAATTTCAAATAAAGTAGATATTTGAAAACTACTAAAAAATCAGTTACTTCAGACAATCATCCAAGATTCCACCCATTATTATTATTATTATTATTATTATTATTATTATTATTATTATTATTATTAATTATTGTTCCTTTGCGTTCAGGGTGGGATGTAGGGCTTAAACAACACACATCCACTTTGTCCTTTTCTCTGATGTCCTCTTTAGCAGGCCACACGGTTGCCAATAATCCCTCATCTCCTCTCACAGTCTCCTCCATGTCAACCTCTGACGATCCATGCATAGTTTTCACCTAGGGTTCCACTCGAGCAATGGCATGGCGGCCAATATCATTCAACGGTCCCCTCAGCACCTGACCAATCATTCTTTATTTTCTCATACATATTTGTTGAACAATAGGTTGTTAGTGAGTTTGTTCCCATAGTTTCTTATTGCTAATTCTTTCTGACCATTTGATCTTCAATATGAGACGAAAGCAGTTGTTAATAAATGTCTGCAGAAATCTGTTGGAAATGCTTTTCATGACGCAATAGCCAAATCTCTGACCCATATATAAGAACAAGCTGACTTCACACATGTACCAAAAATCTGAAACTTGTTCCTTATGCTGAGTGCAGAAAATTTCCAGACTGATTTCAGATTGATGAAGGCGTAGCTTGCCTTTCCAATTCTGCATGGCTTCGACACTTTATCTGTTCCGCCTGCCTGTGGTTGAAACGATGCTTCCTAGATAAGTGAAGGAAGTAATCTCTTTCAAGTTTCTCCCGTTGATGGTAGTTGCCACAGGTTGTTCTTGTTGGTCGGTTGGTTGGTTATCTTCATCAACTCTGCCTTCTCTATGTTCACCTGGAGTTCTGTCTTCGCTGCCTGCTTCTTCAACCAGTTTGTTGATTTTCGCTGGCAAGTCTTCGAGTTTGTGTGACACTAAACATAGATCATCCACGCGCGAAATCCAGGTGTTCTAGAGTCTTCTTATCGATCGGTGCAGCGTATTCCTGTCTTCTCACTCCCGACGCATAGTTCAGCTCACCACAATTACGAATATCATTGGTGATAATGGGTAGCCAGCCTTGTCTTACTCATGTATTCACTTCAAAGGCTTCTCTAAGATTTCCACTGTGGATCGACTGACACGTGCTACTGTCATATAGCTGTTGAATGAGGTTGATAGAGATTTGGGCACTGCACTCCATAGTGTTGAAGCAGATTCCAAATTACTTCTAGGTCAACGTTGTTGAAGGCCTTTTCGAAGTCGATGAAGGGAGTCAACGTACAGGTCTGACTGCCATTCTATGCTCTGTTCGACGATGATGCGTAGAGTTGGAATTTGATCAGCACATGATTTGCCTTTCCTGAATCCGACTTGTACAGGTTGTCTTTCCTAGCATAATTCTTCACTTCTTTATTCAGTGAGATGTTGCATTCAACTCAGCTTCTTCTTCTGCCGTCCGTTTTTGCATTGGTTCATCTTCTGCTGCACCATCCTCCTCTCTTCTATTAGCTTTCAGGTGTCCGTAGAGAGCCATTCCTTGTCTTGGCTCTTCTTTTTTCCTAGAACGGTTGTACACGTTTCCTTGAACTTCACCCTCAGAGAGTTCCAATGTTCTCCCACACCGGTTTCCTCACTGATGATTCTACGTAGTGTCTCCGACTTTGCCCTGATAGCTGTAGTTAAGGTGTCCTTTGTAGTTTTGTCATTCAGTTTCTGAATGTTGAACTTGAATTGTGGCCTGTCTCCAGTTGTTTTCAGGGATTTCAGCTTCACCTTGAAGGTTCCTTGAACTAGATGATGGTGTGAGCCCACATCTGCTCCCCTTCTCGACTTTGTATCCGTCAGGCTGCATCTCCACTCCCTTGAGAGTGAAATGAAATCTATCTGGTTTGTGGTGTAACCATCAGGAGAAATCCATGTTGCTTTGTGTATATCCTGTGCTTGCACACGCTGCCTCCAGTGACCAAATCATTGAAGGCGCAAAAGTCTGCGAAGACTTCTCCCCTATCATTCGTCTCACCGAGAGCCTGTCGACCCATGATGAGTTCTCTCCCTGTATTGTCTGCTCCCAGTTTGGCGTTGATACTGCCCATAAGAATTTTGATGTCTCCATTTAGGATGTTGTCCACTATTGTTTGCAGTTGTTTATAGAAGTCTTCCCTTGTTCTGCGTTGTTTGTAGGTGCATAGCATTGGATAATTGTAACTCTCCTTCCTTTTGAGTTGAATCTTGCAGTCGTAATCCTGTAGGAGGTTGGTTCTCACTGCGTAAGAGCTTTGGCTGCTGTTAGTGACATCATAATAAGCACTCAGTATGCTCGTGGTTGTCGTCTGGGTGACTATACCGGAGTAGATTGCTGAATCCCTAGTTGACAGTCCGGATGTGTCCATTCTTATTTATACTTTCATCGCAAGAAGACACATCATCTGACTGGATTTCGGGAGGTTTTCACTAACCAGAGTCATATCACCTCTCCGATTCCAGAGAAAAATAAGTTTGTTGTTTATAATTTTTGTGTTTTCTAATATTATTTTGTGCGTTGAAGTTTCTGCAGCAGTTTGATTGGTTTACTGAGGTAGGGTTACTAGCCCGACGCCTAACCCTCCCTCTTACCCTGTGCTTGGAACCGGCTAGAAACTAGTGAGCTAGTAAACCAGGTGGAGTTCTTGTAATCCACCGGTACATAAACCAAAATCTTTTGATAACTTACTCTGGCCTTAACATCCACCTGAGCACCATTACGTAAAAGTAGACGGGCAACATCAGTTTGTCCAGCACGAGTAGCTAGGTGTAAACTAGTCTCACAACGTACAGTTGGTGCGTTTGCATTAGCGCCGTGCTGCAATAACAGGACTACAATATTTAAATGTCCCATAAAACACGATACATGAAGCGGTGTCAGACCAGACTGAAATAAATAAACAGAATAGAATAGGATAACTCCAGCCAAGGTTATTAGTGAAATATCATAGCAATAGGGATTGGGCATAAAACCCAATCATAAGATAATCAAATTAATCATTTTATGAACAATATTAAAACAAAATGTTTATTATAATTTATTCATTTCAGATACCGAATACTTCTAACGACATCAATCATAAGAATTGCTTCAAAACAGCAGCAACTTTGAGTACAAAAGAAACGAGTTCAACTAATATTGTTTCCAAGGCCTGCTGCAGAATTTACATAATTCGTAAATATTGTGTTACATCATGCTTTTTGGTCTGATCTTTCATTCTGTAAACGTACATTCTTCCTACTCCTTGTTTATTTTTCAATGGAATTCATCTTATTCAATTATCGTTGTATCTTCGCATTCGTATTAACCCTTAATTTTCTGAATTCCTCCGTAATTATTCAATCTAGCCCTTACTTGCACACACATACACAAAATCTACTACCAAATCTTCCCTCCGAATTTTCGATGTTAACGTTTATTCGTATGAAATTTACAATTAAAACGAATAAAATTAATTTTAAGCATGAGTCGCAACGATTCATTTCAGTACATCTATCGTTATTCATAATCATTTACTTTGATATGTGAAGTTCAGTCTAGTGCCATATTTATGCATATTATCACACAAACACATGTTCTGAACTATAATCCAGTATTTACTTATTCACATAAACCTCTGGGATTTCGTAATTGAAATAATTCGGTACCATAATAAATATTAGTGCTATTAATAACAATTATTGTTTGACTAATTTTGGACACAACTCTAGAGCCTGAAGTTGTAGGAAAGCATATTCGTTGTTCCATAATCTGTGTTTCAGGAAGTAAATACATTAACGTCTCTATGCTAGGTTTCCATTGATATCGCAAATTGTGTTCAGTGATAGATTCTTAACATTTCGAAGACTCTGGTCTGATAGTGTACAGTCACCATCAGACCTAAAATCAAAGTAATGACTTCGTAGAATGATAATGTATCGTCGTAATATCGATTAACAGATTTCTCATCAAGGCAGCTATTGTCGCTCTTTGTATAAAAATGCATTTTGTACTGTATTCGTCCTGAATATATATGTACCTGTCTTCGAACTGTAGTGAATGATTGTTTTGGAAACTCGATATTAAAATTACATGTAAACAGGCCAATCGACAACCAGCTTTATTCAGTCCGTGTTTCATGACGACTGTTACTCACCAACAAGATATCTCCAACGGGGACAGACTTACAATGTGAGCATAGTGAGTACAGGCAGGAAGTAGATAAGGATAGGTGATTTAAAGATTCAAAAGGTAAAACTTTTTTATTGAATAAATATTTTAATTATTATTTATTCAAAATTAGATAATCATTCAGGTTGACTGGTGGTGTACAATAAAATATACACTGTGACTCGCTAGGGAATAACAAGTGTCATGTATTGAGTCCTATCAGTCAAGTTTGTTATAAGGCTACCAAATTAGGTAACTCATCATGAAGATAAAGTCTGAAATGATGTTAATTCATTGCATGAAACGGGTGGAAAGCCTGGAACCCAGCGACTTGCCCCTCGGCTTGAATAGGTCAGTTGTAACGTCTCTAAATTAAGCAATGAGTGAATCAAGTTCAAATATCAGAGGGACACCTGTTCCTTCGAGGTTGCAGATACTCCTTACTGATCAGTTTTAGCAAACATGAGACGAATGTTCAAGGCTTCTTGCCAGCTGCCTCTAACTATCTAGCAAGAAAAAACTATCATCGGTGATTTGATGTGGTTCACGGTGTAGTCAGTACTATTCACCTATAACTTCAGAAATTTACTTTACTCAGACATTGAATAATTAGTATTGAATTTACACTTGGCGTGAAAGAAAGAAAATGTAGTTCGTTTTCTAAGCTTGTGAGTGTGTACAGAATAATTTAGACAGGATCTGTTACAACCTGTTTTCTTTTCTTTCCTTTCTTTTATTTCTTGCGTTTCGAGTGGAACACAGGGTTTCAAGTTTTTCTGTAACAGTTGTGTTGTTTATATGCAGTGAGGTTACTAACCTCCCGCCCAAACTCTTTCGTGTATTCCAGGCTTACTACTGGCTAGTAAACTAGGTGAGATTTAAAATTATGCCGGCCAGGAATCAACCCTGAACTTCCTGTGCATTCAGAGAGCATTTTACCATTGAACCACTGGTGCGTACACATGCAGGATCAGTTCGAACATCCAGAATGCAACTAACTGAGCTATTACATCATTGATTATGTTATTATGATGCTGTTATTATGTTATTCTTATCATCTTTATATCAAAAATAGCTGTTTAGAATTATTAGCAAACATTACTCCTTAACTCCTTAACTAACAATAATTTCAGGAAACAGACAGATACATTGAAAAAAAGAAGCGTAATAGACTCATTTTGATGAGAAATTACCCATCAGGGAATTAAGGGAAAAAGAATAAATCTACGCAAAGGCAATTAATACGCACCAATTCAGTAATAGATTCATATTACTTGTACTCTCTTGTTGTTATTATCATTCAAGTAAATAACTGTAGACGAGAATATTTAGTGAATAGACTTAATAGAGATAATTATACTAAGATTATAAAAGAAAAATAGAAAATGCAAAGTTAGGTGCTTATTTTTTTTGTTACTTCCTGTCTCTCTCTTTTTCCCTATTGTTAATTCAGTAATTCATTAGTAAAGGAAATCATAGTGGCTGGACTGAAATTTCCTCTCCCTTTTTACAGTTAAAAAGGAATAAAAACTGTCGTACATATAATAGAAAACAAAATGGGGAAGAAAAGAAAAGCAATGGGATAAGTAGGAGTACCAAGTACTGGAGTGTTTAAAGACCTCAGTTTTACGTTTGTTTTCACTGACAAACTACATATCCAAAGGTTTTGAAATGTTAGACTGACTGGTTTACAGACAAAAGAAATCAAGGATTATAAAACAATTCTTCCTGCCTCTTGACAGGATACTGCAAGGGATGCTAAGAGTCAGTCTTTAATAAGACTACATATCATCTAGATTTTATACCTGTTGAGCAACACACATTTACAATCACTTCACAATTTAACATCAGACAGTCAAATTGATTATGAATCAGTATTAATCTCCATTTCAAGAGATCATTTGTGACCAAGATAGTTTATATTTAGATTCTCTAACTTGAGAAAAGATGTGTAAGGTTTCAAAACTCACGATACAAGTATACTCTGTTTATGAGCAGAGACAGTGAACAGATCGGGTTTCAGTCTTTTCTAGTTGTTAACTCCTATTGTCTAATAACAAAATGTCTCATTTAGACGATGATGAATTTGTAGTTGAGCTTGCTCTACAACTTTTGGTTTCATCAAAACAATCAAACAATAGACTAGATGAGTTATAAGATGTTCATTAAATCAGATTATTGCCTTATGAAGTTCTGTGCTTTGATTTAAGCACGCCTAAACATAGCACAAAGAAGATCATTAGTTCTCACTGTTAGCTTTTATTCAATTTCACCAATTTTCTTGAGATATAACAAATTTTAATGGATGTCGGTACAATATTTCTCTGACATATCACAGCTGTAATCAACCGAAAATAATGCAAACAATATTGTGTTTAAAAAATTGCCACCATACTCTCTGAAGTGTAATTAAAATCAACTGTTACTGCTATAGATAAGATTTGATTTTATTTTCAAATCAAAGGAGGATAATTAATAATCTTAAAATTCTATTTCAATTCACATACATTATAACATTCTAACAAGTTACTTATTTTGACTACAAAAAAAAAAAATTTAATGGGCATTTTTAATGAATTAAAAACATCTTATTTCCCATCCAATCGCATTTAGTTGATATTGATTTTTATTCAAATGTCTAATTAATTTCACTCAAGTATATAAATGAAGTATAAAGTTGTGTGAATGACTTGACATTATTATGAGCAACAGTTTGTGCTCGAAACGTCATCAGTTAATATTACTGTACAACACTGTGTGATTTATCAAAATAAAATCTTATCTAAAATGGAGTTATACTCTACCATAGTGCCCAAGTTTTATACTTATATCAACTGTTAATGTATAAATGTTGATAAAAAGAATGCATATATCATTAGTGAAAGCATTTGACTTTCAAACACAGGGTTTCCTCTTCAACCTTGTTTAATTCAGCCTAAAAGGCCGAGTACAATCAAGTCAGTTATCTTTCACATCAAATATTCCAAATAGAATAGTATTTCAAATGTCTTATATCAAGTAATTCAGTATTATTATATATTTGAAAAGTATAAAATTCTTTGCTTTAATAATCATCACTGCAACTAAATCATTAATTTCACATTTGTACATTCTACTGTCCTGATGAAGTGTAAAGAATTTTTAGGTTTCTTGTAAGATGACTGAAGTTCTAATGAGACTTTGTGACCTGCGACACTGATCAAGCTAGATAAAAGCGTGAAAGCTGATTGACAAATATCAACTATGGACAGAATATATGCTGGCAGTTGGCAGACATTGGAATGGCTTAGTGTCACAAGAATTCATATGAAACATCTTCTTTCAGGGATCCCTTGGTTTTCAATAATTATGCTGGTGACAACGTTTACTCAATTGGCTGTCTAAATCCATCAGGATATATATATATATTAGGTAAAGAATAACTGAAAGAAACACACTCATCCCCTTACCTCAGTCGTGGCTTGAACTAAACAGTTATGTTTAAGAAGAAGCTCAACAATTTTAATGCGATTCTTTTGACATGCAACATGCAGTGGTGTAAATCCATTCTGTAAAGAGAAATATAAGATCAAAATAACAGTTAAGGTAATTAACTCTTTAGAAAACAATAAATCATTTATTCACTGTATTCATTTAATAAATAGTTCAGCACATTAAACGGAAATTAATACTACTTATTTTTGGTTGGTACTAGGGTTCTGAATTTAATGGGCTTTTACATATTTCTTAGTGCAGTGTGGTGTGTTCTGCTTACAAAAATATATAAGTAGTGTGTAAGATCCTCGGAAAAGCAGTGATCATTTGTCAGTAGAAAAAGCTACTGAAGAAGAAACTCAAGATATGTACTTATTTACCTGAGAGGAACCTGATTAGAAATGTAAAAACAACGAATTAATCATGTATTTGCAAATCGTGAAATCAATCTTAGTTGTATCGTTTTACCACACATGTATGGTCTGCCCAAAACACATAAACCTAACATTCCTCTACGTCCCATAATGTCAATGTGCCGATCTCCGACCTACAAACTTGCACAGTGGTTAGTGGAAATATTAGAGCCTATTAAAAGAAGCTTCTATAAGTTCTCATTGAAAGACACTTTTGAGTTAAGTGATTGTCTTGATAACGTTGATATAAAGGACAAAACCATGTTTTCCCTAGATGTTGAATCTTTATTTACAAATGTACCTCTTTTACAGACAGTTGACATTTTATGTGATTACATCTCTAACAACGATTTCCTATTATCAGTACCCGTATCTTACTTAAAAGAGTTACTGCTTCTCTGTACTAACAATGTTAAGTTTACATTTGAGGGCGAGCATTATCGCCAGATCGATGGTGTTGCTATAGGAAGCTCCCTAGTCCCATTGTTAGCTGATATATATATATATATATATATATATATTAATATGTCCCATGTTGAGAACCTAGTGGGGAAAGAAATTGGAAAAGTTTATTTTTATAAAAGATATGTAGATGACATGACAGTCATTTGTGATAAACCGACAGATGCCATAGAAATCCTGAACCAAATCAACAGAGTACAAAACGGCATATCGCTAACATACGTTAAAGAGAATAATGGCTGTCTGCCAGTTTTATATGTACTCATAACTCGCCAAGAAGATGGGTCAGTAAAACGATCTATCTACAGAAAGTTCACATGGACGGAACAGTATCTAAATTATCATAGTTTCTGTCCACTACAGTATAAAAAGGCGTTGGTTAAATGTTTGTTCAAGCGCATTCACTGTATATGTACTGCTGATACAATTGAAGAAGAAATACAGCACCTCACTGAGATATTGTTAGATAACAGTTACCCACTGAGATTTATTAGGCGTTACGGAAGCGTCAACCATAGAGCTCTACCAACCCAATCAGCTGCCAAAAAGGATGTTTACATATCCTTGCCGTTCAGAGGTGATCAACAAAGTCTGGTCACTAAACAAAGACTCAAGGCCGCAATTAATAGAACATATTATGCAGCTAAGCTAATCTTCATATAGAAAACGATAACTATGCTGTCCTGTAAGCCCTCACATTATCCGAACGATAGCGTCACATCCCACTGTGTTTATCAATTTACATGCATGTGTGGAGACAAGTACATTGGGAGGACCCATTGGTCTCTGCAGGTTAGGGCTACAGAACATTCCCAAATGGCTGCAACAACAAATGAAATCGTCAGACACAATTGACCCCGGAAATAGATGTCCAACACCATCTTTAACGAAGCACATTATAGAGACAGGTCATAAGGTTGATTTCAACAATGCCTTTAATTCGATATATAAAACAAGGTTGGGTCACATACTTAAATTCATTGAAGCCTTAGCCATAAAGAGACTTAAACCTGTCCTATGTGTCCAAAAGTTATTTGTTATCACCTTAAACCTGCCTTGGTAATCCAATTTAGAACCAAGGTCCAATTACTTCATAATATTTTCAACCCCTTCTTTGCCTTGTTTTTCTCTTTTTCATTCAACTTTCAGTAGTCACTCATTATATGACTGTTAGCCTCCGAAGGTAATTTCACTAGAAAGCACTGCCATTTTAACTGGCTATTTAAATACACATACTACACTGTGCAGAAGAGTTTTTTCTTTAGTCTAAAAATGTATTCCACCAGGCCACGATGATTTAAAGAGGAAGAAAGGAAGAATGACACTTATTTCTTGTAATATAATCTAAGGTTATATTTAAGGTCAAATAGGATAAGATTTTCACCTTGGTTATGAAAAATAAATGACAAAATTAATAATATATATACATATGTTTATATATATATATATATATATATATATATATATATATATTGGTTGATTATGAGAGGTAATAGTAGTTCACCTAAACAGGAAGATTTTCACCTATCAGGAAACGAAGTCAAGTGTCATGAAGGGGTTAACTTTATTTGTCATTCATAAATATAAAGAATAATTGGCAGTAGAACTTATTCCCATTAGCTGTTAGTGATTTTCACAGATATACGCAGCATTCTTAATTACAAGCATATAGAGACTACCCTAGATACTTCAGGAAGGTTTGTAAAAACTTTAGTTGAAGGACTGTTAAAAAATTGGGCAGAAATATGAAAGTGTCTGAATGTGTTGCAGCTTTCACCCGTTGGCTTCATTTAGCAGAATCCTGGAAAAGCTCAACCTATATGATCGTTTTTTAGTGACGTGTATCTTAACGATAAAAGTGGAACGTAAACACACAGATAGTAAGTAACCATGGATAAGGACAAGTAATTACATAAGTGGTAATAGTTGTTTTTAGCAGTTTCAATTCTTAAATTTACCCTTTCCTAAACAACAAAGAACCATGCACACAGGAAGACATTGAATAGGTAGCATCATGATGAAGTTATAAGCCAGTATCGCTTTAGCGTATACAACATTTACATAAAGTCACTATTTCAAAGTGTAAAGCTCGACTAAGATTAAGCAGCTTTACAATACACAGTTCCTGATACGGTATTTACTCCCCAGTCTAAACCAGAGAGATCATTAAATTTGTTATGCGGGGTAATTAAACTTGATATTCATAATTCTCGTTCTCCCACATTGTTATCACAAAACTGTCTGTTGCCTGCTAATTGAATTCATTTAAATCAGTTAGATTTTAATTTCCTTACTTTGTGTTTTTCAATCAATCTTGTTCCAACGATGTTTATGTATTTTATTTACATACAGAAGGTGGGAAGAATATCACTAAAACCTGGTGAGCAGCTGATGGGTTATTCAACTCATCTTATGGCAGTAAGTGAGGTGGAAATTGTACACCTGAACCGATGGACGATCACTGGCGCTTCAACTAAACCCCTGTAATCGTGAAATCTAGCCAGCCTTTTATTATTACATGATATTTTCTTATTATCAAAGTGATAAGACTTGTTATTTATCGACTGTAAGATCCGATTGTCTACTTCAGTGAGTCAAATTATTTGACATTTAAAGGGAGAAATTATTTGAAAGATGGTGTGGTTCTTATTCTAGTGTTTATTGTATCCAAGAGACTAGAGATGGACAACAGTTTGCTATAAAAACAAATTCACCTTTCTAATCACTTGAAAACTGTAATACTAGATAACATTTCAGAAATATATAATTATTACCTTTAGTTCCTAGAGGTGAGCACCTCTCCATTGAGCTCGGTTCTCTGCCAAAGTTTTCACCTGGCTCCACATCTGCCCACATGCTTTCATCTCTTCTTCACGTGACCTCCTCCAAGTCACCCTTGCACTGACGACAAACTCGCCGCTTCCCTTTTGAGTTCCACTGAAGCAATGGCATGTCTTGTGATATCACTTGATGGTTTCCTCAGAGTATAGCCAATCCACTTCCATTTCTTCCTGCATATTTGTTTCAGAATCGGTTCCTGTTTGGTTCGCTCCCATAGGTCCCTGTTTCTAATCTTTTCTGGCCATCTGATCTTGAGTATTGAGCGAAGACATCTTTTGATGAAGGTCTTCAGTTTGTCTGAGGTGCTCTTCATGACGCGCTAAGTCTCTGATCCATAAAGTAGCAATGATTTCACATTGGAGTTGGAAATCCGAACCTTATTTTTCATTCTGAGTGCTGTTGACCTCTACACAGACTTGAGAGTAGTGAAAGCTTGTCTTGCTTTCCCAATCCTCGCCTTGATATCCTCATCAGTTCCGTCCGCCTGTAGTTGAAACGATGCTTCCCAGGTAGGTAAAGGAGGTTGCTTCTTTCAGATTTCTCCCATTTGTGCTGATTGTTGTCTGTTGTTATTGTTGCTGCTGTTGCTGTTGGCCTGGAGTCTTCATCACCGCCACTGTTTTCTCTATGTTCACCTGAATTCATATCTTTCTTTGATGCTTCTTCTGCTAAACTGTTGCTTTTCGCTTGCATACCTTAAAGTTTGTGGGAAATCAGACATATATCATCGGCGAAGTCCAGATCCTCCAAGTTTTTTGTGTGAGTTCATTTTATGCCCGTCTCCTCGTTGCCCGCTGTTTGTCTGTCGCAATCAGGAAAATCATTGGTGATAGTAGGCAGCCAGCCTTGTCTTACTCCTGTCCTTACTTCGAAGGGTTCCATAAGTTTCTCGTTGTGGATTACTTGGCATGCAGCATTGTCGTACAGCTGTTGGATGAGATGTATAATTGTCGGTGGCACACCGTAGTAGCGAAGTAGTTTCCAAATCACCTCTCGATCGACGCTGTCAAAGGCCTTTTCAAAGTCGATGAAGTTGAGGTAGAGAGGTGACTGCCATTCCAGGCTTTGTTCAATGATGATCCGTAATGTGGCGATCTGATCAATGCATGACTTGTTTCTCCTGAATCCAGCCTGTTCCGGTCGAAGTTTTTCACCCAGGGTGTGTTTGATTCTCTCCAGGATAATACGGTTTAATATTTTGCTTGGGATAGACAGAAGCATAATTCCGCGCCAGTTCTTGCATTGACTTAGGTCTCCTTTCTTTGGAAGTTTGAATAAGTATCCTTTCTTCCAATCCGCAGGTACCTTGTCCTCTTTCCACACCTTCTCCAGTAGTGGTGTCATCAAGTTCACTGATGTCTCGGGGTCCATTTTCAATGCTTCTGCTGGGATTCCATCTGGTCCTGCTTCTTTTCCAGTTTTTAGCATCTTGATTGCCTTCAGGATTTCTGTTCTCGCCGGGGGGTCGGTGTTCACTGGTAGCTCTGTCTCCGTTGTTGGTATCGTTGGGTGCGTTGTAGGTGGTGGTCGATTTCGGAGTCTTTTGAAGTGTTCAGCCCAGTGTTTCCTTTGCTCCACTTCTTTGGTGAGTGTCTTTCCGTTGTCATCTTTCACTGGCTTGATTTGTGTCAAACGTTTGCCCGATAGGTACCTAGTTGTTTGGTAGAGTGTTGCGAGGTCTCCTTTGCCTGCAGCTTGTTCTGCTTCACTTGCCATAGCTTCCTTATATTATCTTTTGTCTTCCCTGGCAGTCTTCTTCACTCTTTTGTTCAGTGTCTTGTAGCTCGCATTCAAATCTTGTTTTTGTTGCTCGTCGGTGCACTGGAGAATCTTTTGTTTCACCATCCCTCTCTCTTCTATCAGTCTCCAAGTGTCCGTAGTGAGCCACTGTTTGTCCTGTCTCTTCCTTCTGCCTAGAACTTCCATGCAGGTTTGGCTCCACACTGTGTTCAAGTTGTTCCAGTGTTTTTCGACGCTGACCTCTTCGCCAGTGTTGATTTGTGTCTCGGCTTTGTCTTTTATGCTTGCAGTGAAGATGTCCTTTGTGTCCTGGTCCTTCAGTTTTTGAGCATTGAACTTGGCTTGTGGTCTATCTGCAGCTCCTGTTTCTCTGAAAGCTTTTAATTTGATTTGGATTGTCCCTTGTACGAGATAGTGGTCTGAGCCAATGTCTGCTCCTCTTCCTACTTTTGTGTCTAGCAGGCTGCGCCTCCACTTCCTTGAGATTGAGATGAAGTCGATTTGGTGTTTGGTTCGCCCGTCTGGTGACACCCATGTAGCCTTGTGGATATCCTTGTGTTTATATACGCTGCCACCAATCACTAGTTCATTGAAGGCACAGAAGTCGGCGAAGAGTTCTCCGTTTTCATTCATTTCTTCTGGAGCTTCTCTACCCATGATGAGTTCCCTTCCTGTTTTGTCTGATCCCAATTTGGCTTTCATGTCTCCCATTAGTATTTTGATGTCACCAGCTGGAGTATTGTCCATTATTGCCTGCAGTTGTCTGTAGAATTCTTCTTTCTTTTCGAGGTCTGCGTTGTTTGTCGGTGCATAGCATTGTATAATTGACACTTTAAGTGTTAGCGATGTTATGTTTACGGGATAGGGTTGCCAGTCTCACGCCCAACCTTCCGTCCTTATAGGGTTTACTACAGGCTGAGCAAGGTTTAGGAATGCGTCGGTCGGGAGTCAAACCGAGACATCCTGCCACTGAACCACAGACGGACAATACGAATTGCTTGTAGGTGTGATTTTTACCGCCAACACTGAGTGATACAGATATGAACTCCTGGCGGAAAGTGAGTTCTTTCTGCTGATTAGTGTTAATACGCGAGCAGTTTGATTTTACAGAGCTTCTTGTCTTGGAGTAATATTTTGTCACATTTTCTGTAACAAGATGGCAGCCAGGACTGAGCTAATCAGAATATGTATTCAGTAGTGAATGGGAGGATTTATTTTCAATTATTTGTATTCTTAATTACCCCTGAGCGAAACTATGGTACTTATTTAGCTATCTTAAGTGTCATTTACTCATAAGGCCTGTGAAATATCTAGTGGACAATTGACTAGTTAAAATAAATATTACTACTTCTGCTGTTAGATCACGACTTTTGAGTTTGTGCTATCAATAAAAATTAGGGTAAAAATGTGCTATATCACTTATCCTGTCGAAACGGGCATAACTTAATGTGAAAGCCTTAGTATGAAGAATGAAGTAAGGTGTTATTCGACAACAATTTGCACTTCAAGGCACACCTGGAAGTGAGCTACACCAGTTGTGTGAGGGCTAATAATCCTACCTTGATGTCCACGCCAGCAAGCCCGTGATAGTGAACAGAGGAAACTAGAATAAATGTGTTGGTAATTTATTCTAGTCTGAGTGTCACAATCACCGCAAGCAATTAGAAACTCTTATAAACAAGGCACATACGTTTGCTCGAAAATATCCAGTTAAACATTTTGAATTTCCCATGTTATTTGTTTATGTACAAACTGAAAAAACCATGTCTTTTTTGTAATTATAACTGGATTAGCTCAAATATAACAACACTATGCGGATCAGGGAACACATGATAACTAATGCAGTTGTGTTGATTAAGATGCATCCAGAAGGAATGTGTACTATGAACAGTAAGCAATATGACACCCTGTTATACAGTAAAATTTGTTAGCTGTTAAAAATCAGTCGATACGAAAGATACTTGGCTGTTCTGAAGATTTTAGACATAGTTAACTGATAATTTTAAACAAGCACCTATCTACATCTAACACCAAATATAGTTAAAACACTATGAATTAGATTTTTTCCGTACCACCTATTTATTTTACAGCCCTCATTTACCTAAAACAATGAATTCAGTAATATATCATCTTAAATAATGAATGAGATTAAATAGATTTAAAAACAATCTAAATACAAACCATATGGGTTAAATGATCATAATCGTTTAAATAAAAATATTGTTTATAATTTTAATGAAGTAATAATAATAACAACCTACCAATGCCCTAGCATTCACATCGCATCCACGTTCAAGTAGTAGTTTGGCTACACGTACATTACCACAGTGTGCAGCCACATGTAATGCAGTTAAATAATCAATAGTTGGGTCATCTGGTTGTGCACCATTTTGTAAAAGTAAACGAGCTGCATCAATATGATCACCTTGAGCTGCCATATGTAGTGAATTTAAACCACTCTATAAAACAAAGGAACACAATAAACTGTTTTAGTTTTGTATTTTGTTTCTATTACGCTTTTAAAAAACTGAAATGACAAGATATGAAGATAGGTATAACATATTTTATCACTTCCAATCATTTACATATATATGCAGGGAACCTTATAAAAGGTGAAAAGCTGTGTGTGTATGTAGTATTAAAATTCAGTTAGTAGGACAAGTAATTAAAAGTAAATATAATAGTGATTGTCATTAAAGTGAATATTGCTAAAGTAAATAATGGAAATAATGAAAAAAGACAAATCATTATAGATGACATCTCTAAAAAAGGTATTAGTAAATATTAATGATTTCATCACCAGTTATAGCTAAAAGATCATTTTTTGGATTTGTAGGAACTGTAATCAGTTTCATCACGAACCAACATACGTCAAAGACAACTATTTCATCCTAGTTTGATACTGCTCAGCAGTGTATATCCACTAGGGAGGGAATCCAGCTTCTTTCAGGTTATCAGGTGAGCCCGTTGATCATACAACCACCGAGTGTATAGCCACCCAAAACACTGATACCTTAATTTTGTAAGTTTGTAACAATAGCTAGTCATGTTAGTTCAAGTTGGTCTAGATTGAAAAACTTGAAGCGTGATTTGACTGAAACACTGCACTAATCCATAACTAAATATTAGCCTGAGTGATGTAGGAAGGTGCCGGCTGTTTGACTTGGATCGTTAAGATGCTAGAAATCAATGCGTGGAAACCTTTAATGACTTGTTGCAAAAGTCCTCATAATATAGTGATAAATTAATCCTTCACCATTTTCGAATATTTGGGTTTTTTAGCTAACCTCATTTAATTATTCTCGCGCCTCTTATAATGATGTTCATGAGTTATAGTACTCTTCTAAGTTCTTTGTACTGTTTTGAAAGTTTCAGCAACTTGGAGCGATATGCACCTGCTTAGTGTTTTTGTTATTGCCCCTACAAACTTACAACTCCCCGGTTTTCGATGATTCTCTAACTGATATCAATCTCTGATCAAACTTCAAACCGATCAAATGCCTACAAACTAACACCCAAAAATTAATCTGAAGCCCACTAGTGACTGACTACAGGACGGGTTCTGGTGAAAGGTAGGGAAAAGTGGGGTTTAATAGGTCGGGCGTGAGGATAAATACTTGTCGATGATATTGGCCGGCTGTCGAGACAAAAATCACGAAATGACAGAAGTTGGAATTCCTGCACCGGTGATTGGACTGCATCCCAGTAGCTGAATGGTTGGAGATCTCACTTTGTAATCAGAAGGTACCAGGTCCAATCTTTTGTGGGTGATGGATGCGTACAGCCAAAGAGTCTCACACTGAGACAAAACAGTTGTCCAATACTTCCTTGTTTTCGACTGTTCTCATGCTAATATCAATCCATGAACAGACTTAAAAGCGCAACAGTTGAAATGTGCAGTTCAGATCACGCAAAAATACTGAAAATAACCGATTAATTTTATTTTCTGACAGTTGAGTCACTTCTCATTTCAAATTTAAGCTTATTTTTATGTGTTTATCTAGGCAATAGACTCTTCACGTTTAAAAAAGGTTTGTGCTATATTGTGGTGGTGTGAAATAGACAGTGGGTTCCAACGTGATATTATTCTCATTGCATTTGTTAATGTTAACGTTTGAATACTATTCCTACACTTCAATACTGCATTGGCAACAGAACACTATATACATTTGAACATTCTATTTCATGTCGTTTAATGTAAACCAAAATCACATGCTCAGTGATTGGTTAACGAATATATATATATATATATATATATATATATATATATATATAGCGGTTTTATAACTTGAAAATATACCTTGGCTTCCGTGCCTTGCTTTACAAGATTAGTGCTAAACTTACGCCGAAGTAAACATAAAAATTATCTTATGGGACTGATTATCTATTTAAATGAAATAGATATGGTGAAATAGATTGAAACTGATGGGACTCAATACATTATAATTGACCGACCTAGCCACTGACTTATGGCTCCGTATTACTTAATAAAATGAAGAGATTAGTAGAGCAGTTAATCTCCCCTAGTGACATTATGCACTAAGCACTCAAAAGGAAACCAAATGGGATACCGCAAGCTAGACCTGGGTCTGAGGGTGACATATATATATATACATATATATAGCTAAGTATATTTAAACTGATCAATGGTGCTTGATAACTAAATTCTAATGAGAAATGAAATGATCTGAAAATTAGTTAATCTTAAGACCAGTTTGATATGAAATTCAAATTGATTTTATTTGTGAAAGACTAAAAGTGTTCATAATCTCGTTGTTTAAGGTACGAAAGTGATTTGAAATAAATTGTTTACGAAGAAACTTTTGACAATAAGATAGTAACATTCAGATGAATTCAGTTGCTGAGAGTGGTGAAAAATGCAAATGAATTGCCTATCGGGTTGTAATCAACGTAGTTATCTAATCCCTAGTATGTCGACGGAAATCTATCTGTAGGATGTTCACGGTGGAAAAGAAGCTGAAGTACGTAGTACTTCCATACCCTGATTTTATTCTTTTACTAAATAGTGGATTGAATACTGTCTGGTAACAAATTTGGCTTCAGTATCCGGACGAATAGGTTTTCATTCGTCATATGAAAAGGCTAGTGATACAGACCTATGAATGTTCGATTGTTAAACCCTGAATTTCTACAGTGTTATAGGTACCCTTCGTTGCTGATAGTGAAGAAGCACACAATTTGGGTCGAAAATGACTTTCTCATTATCAGCTTCAAACACGTTACTTACAAAATGCTGTTCGAATTGCGATTTTTCCACATTCATCTATCATTCACCAAAGACGAATTCTGATTCTCAGAGAAAGACTGAGGATAAACTAAAAAATTTGCCAAAATTGGTACATTTATACAAGACTGAAACGAACAGTATGTGTCGCGACAGATAAAAATGACAGCCATTTCTCAAGAGGCAGATCTCTTGGCTCAGTAGCCTGGTAGATAACACTTTATCTTCTGAAAGGATGAGTGGTGAGTTTGAATTTCAGTGGAAGCATCATTATTCACTGGAATTTATTTTATCCAGCTAACAACTCTCAAACGGAGAGAAGCAAGAGTCTAGGAATTTAATGACTATCAGAGGGAAGAACTTGGTGCTTTGCACAAAGAGGCATTATCACAAGTTGTTACGCTTCCAGAAAGCACACGAAAGAAGGAATTAGAAACAGGCAATTACGATAAACAAACATAGATGCAACGGAGAGAAGAAATGAAGGAAGTTTGGTGAAGATTTCCAGAATTTGGAAGACTACAGAAAAGAATGAATATATATGAAACGAATTTGAGCTATATCCAGAAGACTTGTCGTCCATTGGTTTTCATGCACAAATTCATGATGAATAGAAAAATCAAAAAACTAGAGACAAACAAGAGAAATATAAACTTTATCATACCCTTGTTTTTGCAGATAAATTAGCTCCAGCACTTAACAGTAATTGAACAACAGTATCATGTCCCGACCTAGCAGCACAGTGTAAAGGTGTCAATCCATCACGCGTACGACAGTCAAGCTCTGCACCGGCTGTGATCAGACGTTCAGCCACACCTTGATTACCCCATTTTGATGCTACATGCAATGGAGTAATATTATTCTAAAACAAAAGCAGACAAATGAAAAGATCTAGCAAAATTAACTGTAGTTATAATAGTCAGATTACAGTTAACAAGTATGTTACGGGACATTTTTACAAAGCACGATTTTCACGTGAGTCTTTCATTGGAAGAAAATTCTCGAGGAAAATAATATGATCTGACAGTTACTAAAAAGTCTTGAGAAAGTAAAAAATACCAAGATCTTATTCGTATACACTGATAGTTTTGTGTCATGGATTTTGTTGAATTGGCCAACCTTTATTGACATAAGGCCTGAACTACTGTCTTGAGTGTAAACTTGATGTTGTGGAGTGCACTACTGACAAGGTTTGCCAGTAGTATATAAAGTGACGTTGATCAGCTCAAAAATATGAAATGGCAGAGAGGTAGATTTGAAGTAAAAAAGATAAAATGAACGAGTATTGAGGGAAAATATAGGAGGCACGAAAAGAAGACAAAGAAACACAATACGAAAGGCAGAAGTAGCAAAACACCGAAGATCTGCACAACTGATGATTTCAATATGGAGTATGCATAAGTTCCCTATGTGTACGTCAAATTTCTAATTAGCATTCTCTTACCAAGTCTCTTGTCTACTCCCGTTACAATACTACTAACTTCGAATCGGATAACGCTTCCGAAACAGAACTATGTAACTGTCTCAAGCTGCACAGTTAACCACCATTTAATGAACAGCATCCAGTTGAAGCACGAAATGACCACAAAGCTTCTTTTCAATAAAACAACGCAAGTTCATTTCTAGTATTGACAATAAAAAATGATATGCTTCAAGAAAGGGTTGGTTATTATGGCTGACTAGGCGACTAAATAAGTATGTGTCACTTAAAACGATAAACACTGAGTTCAAGTCTCAGTGAGAATGCTATAACTTACTAGTAAGCAGGTGCATCCTAAAAATGACGAAAAGTATGTCTAAAATTTCACTACTAAGCCCTAGAATATGATGAAAATAAATAATTCGCTCTATCAAGTATTTAAATAATTCAACAGTATATCTACTCTGAACATGTTTCTATTTTGTTATTCGTAGACAATAATTATCAACGAAAAGAAATCTCTGAAGGTTTATTTCAACTACTTAGAAGTGCTGGTGAATTATCCTAAGGTTTTGAACAGATAACTTTTCATCACAATATGTCAGTGACAATGATGGGTGGAGATTGAAAAGGACTTATTCTTGGTTAGCAGTTTCTGATCAAACTTTAGGCGAAATAGAAACTAAGTGAAGGGTATCGCATTCGCCAAACATAGTCTTTCAGTGCTCATAAAAAACTTCATAGTTATTATTCTTATAAACAAAGGAATAATAATATTTCTTGAGAATGAACTTAATTACAACAACTAAGAAAAACTGACCCTAAATAAGTAATATTATATATACTGTTAGGTACTTCATTAAAGTTCACAGTAAAACCTCTTGCAGAAGGGCATACACGATGAGACAACAAAGAAAATTGGAAAATATATAGATATACTACTATAAGCAAACAGTGCGTCGTTACCTCAGGGGTAGAATGCAAGTCAGCTTCGCACGTGGTGAGAGGTTCGATTCTTGGCCAAAGCACTCCTATACCTCACCTAGATGGTAGTAAGCCTGGAAAGGATGGCAGGTTAAGTGTGAGGTTAGCAATTCCACACTATAAAAATAACACAAGCGCTACTGAAACTTCAAGGTTTAAAGCTTGAAGCCTTTTAAAATCTACTTGAAACGCAAAGGAATAAGAAGAAGTAAGAAAAGATTAATGTGAAAATGGAGAAAAAGAAAGGAAAGCTGCTGAGGATATCACAGAATATCTTTGTAGCACTGAGATGCAACCAAACTATGGTTACAGTTTGACACAACTAAAAACGAACCATGTCGGAAACGAGCTCATATGGTGTGAAAACCGGGGAGCACCGGACAACTGTTTCATCCCTACGAACCAACATTTGATAGCTCATAATTTTAATGATATTAAAATTCAAAAGGTCAAAGGACAGTTGGAGTAATTAAACAGAACTTTACAATTTCATGTGGTGTCTCATTTTTCACGGGAATAAAAAATGCATTAAAATATACGAATATTTCTGCTGAAGATCTCCTATATTTGAACACTGTTTAACTCCCATGTGAAAAACTTAGTTTGTTTGTGGGTGAAATTTGTTGTTATATGAGAAAATAAAATATATTTTTGCATTATTAAGCAAAACAGATTAATTGTCCTTCTGGATATTGCTGACACTACCCAGCATTAATTCGTTCGCAAAAGTCCCAGTTAATAACGAAACTGTACAGCTGTTAAGATTTTAGGCTTTACATGTACTGATGAAGATTGTGTACACCCATTTATCAAGGTGGTAGAAATTCACCTAATGAAATAGCAGACGGTCAAGCAGCATCACTAAGTACACATGAAATAGCTGTACCTCACTATTTAGTGCATAATAAACCAAATGATAGGCGCTATAGAGGTAGCGGCCCAAGCTGCCACATCGTACAATGTAGAAAGAACCAAAGAATAAATAATAAACTTTAAATTTGAGAGAACAGTAAGAGAACAAGAAGAAAAAAATTGTGAAATTACAATCAAGACAAAAGTAGGGTGTGGATGGATCTGCGTATCGATCGCCAATTTTGAATCACGTTACACATAGTCTCTAATTATAAGTTCCTATAGAAAAGCATACCGCAATCATGCAGATTCCATCATAATGTATAGCTGAGAGAAACAATTGGTGATTTCATGGATCCGCATCAACCTGAAATTTCTCTTAACCTACTTCTAATTCTACTGTCACAGCGTATTTATGATGATGACAGGTAAGTATAAGCTGCGTATAACTCAACACAATACAAGTAAAAAAGTGATAGATTTGTTTATGTATATTGGTTAGGACAACATGGACATAAACTTGTTTGTTTGGAGGATTTCATCATGAGCTGACATCAGTTAGAGAACCATTGGAAAACCATCTGGGAGTACTGGATAGCTGTTTCGTCCCAGTTTGGGATTCTTCAGCAGTACCCACCCACCGGGGCTCGAACTCAGGACCTCCTGGTTAAAAGGCGAGCTCGTAGACCATTAAGCCTCTGGGACCCGATTTAATGACCCATGAATTCTAACTTCTGCCAATTCATGACATAGCGCGACCACTTCGCAATGTCTTCTTCAATGAGTTACTGCTTCGCCTTCAACCTGTTGCACCCTACTGGTCACGGCTTCCCAGTAGAACCCCTGAAAACAAATAATAGTCCATCTTCAGAAGAAAATATCGGAGGCTTTCCATGAAGTCATAAATTGTAAAATTAGCTTTCACTTAAGTAATGCAGCTGAAATAACTGTGCATAAAATAGTTGCAACTTTGTTTTAAATTAAAGTGCTGAATAAAAGTGTAGTCCCTAGTGTTTCAGTCAGTGAACAACACTAATACACATCGATAATCATGGACATTTTTGACTAAAAAATTATTTATTCGCCATTATTTAATACATATACTGTTTCTCTCAGTAACTGATTGGTGCGTTTCGTGCTATGGCTGCTCCATACGATTTATCTATAAATTATGTTACTCATTTTTGTTATAACAAATTATTACTATAGAATAGGCCTTTACTTGAGATTTATCAGTAAAATACGCTGCTAAGCTGACAACGATGGTTTTGCTAGCGATGAAAGTAAAATTAAAAACCCTTAGGTTATCCATCTAATGTGTCCCATCTTAAGATGTGACATGAATGAAGATTGTACATACTGTAATCAAAATTTGACTGATCAGTTGTGTCACAATAAGCAATGACCGTTAGCTTCAATAAGCTTCAATAAAAGAGAGTTTCGCAACCATTAGAAAAGAAGGTATAATCAAATAAGAAGTTTCAAATAGAAATTGTAAAACTGATTTCCTCTTACATCCTACTTTCTTTCCATTATCTGCTTTTCGAGTGAAAAATAGAACTTCCAGCTTGGATGTTTCAGCAGTTTTGGTGCTGTGGTTTCTACTCAGTGAGGTTGCTAGCTTCACTCTCAGCCTTCTCGTATTTTCCAGGCTTATTACCACCTAATAAACTATGTGAGATTTAGAAGGGCGTCGACAGTGAGTCGAATCCCGGGACCATGTGTGTAGCTGGTGATCATTTTAACCAACTGAACCAGTGAAACACATATTCCGCTTGTTATCTAAAACTAACTAATAACACTAGAAATATTTTTTATGTAATCACAAAACATACTCATCAAATTCGTTATGCGCTGTATGACAATTTACTCACCTTGGCTTGAAAATTAATATTCGCACCACGCGATATAAGCAGTTCAGTCATATTCACATTACCATAATGCGCAGCTATATGAAGTGGAGTGAACCCACTCTGTAAACAGAAATAACAATGGTAGGCGTATTTATAAACACAGAAGGCTATTTACGATCATAATAAGTTAACATTCATTTTATTATTGAAATTTATTGAACATAATCCAAGTGTGTTTACTGCATCAAAACAAGATTATCCTAAACATTTTGGTGTATAAGCCACAGCTCTTTGAACAGAACCATTTAGATCCCAGAAATTCCTATTCAGTCATACTTTATGCTGAAATTGTTTTGACACACTCATAACATATATGAACAAGACACTTATAGACTCTTATTTCATTTCGATTCCCAGTGATTTCGACTTGATGAATAGGAATTTCATCCCGGTAGATTCCGGGAGGAATATAAACATACTAAGGATATTATGAATAGCAAAGGGTGGCAGGTAGCATTCTTCTTGATCTGTAAGACTCTTCAAGAATAGGCACCCACATTCTTGAAGGTGGGAGTGGGGTTTATCTACCACAAGACCATCAGGTTTTAGGCAGAACATAATACTATTTAACCACTCGATAAACTGAATTTCCAAATGATCATCAAAACTAAGTACTAAGAAAGTACACAGCAGGTTAGACAGTTGGACAGAATATCGATAAAGGAGGTCTTGAAAGTTTTTACTTATTTTAAAAATAACAGAAATTACCTCCATAAATTGGAGAATGCATCATTTCACTCAAGATGTTATACTGGGCATCAAAAACATTTATGTTTGAACTACTGTTTTAGAGTATTGACAATACCTACTGATGAATTATGTGTAAAGTCAGCAGAATATAAAGGCACTATATATATATATATATATATATATATATATATATTAAATATCCTTTTGGTGTAATCACAACATGATGATACTTTGAGCGAAAGGATTATCACAATATATATGAATATTATAATATCACTATAAATACTGAAATTATTAGTAATCGGATGATTACAGGTTTTGAGCCATAAACAGGAAAATAACTTGAATTCATTGAGAGTGAGACAGGTTTCGTATAATTTTATATTTACAAATGTGATAGACTTCTATATTTTATATTAGAAATTAATTTTACTACTGCAAATATATAGTCTGTAGAGATAATTTGAGTTGGATTCAGTATCTTGCAATTACTTGTACTCTTCAAAAAATGTTGATTTTGTCAATACAGGTATTCTACTCATAGATATGGACCAATTTTAAATCATAATATTGTTGACATTAGAGTTGACTAGAATTTCAATGCTGACGTAAATTGCTCATGCTTTAAGCAATAACAGACAACTTATAATTGGCACAAAAAATAGCATAAGTGTTATCTTCACATAATTTCTTTGTTACTCCATAATTTCACGTTTGAGGACGGTACACATGGCTAATTTTGTCAGAAAATATTAGTATATCATTATTCATCCCTCGAGTTCCAAGTGTAATATAGGGTTAATGTCAGTAAAAACTTTGAGCATTGTGGGGAATAGATCAAATTAAATTTCAATAGTTTACATACAATAAGTTTTGTTCTTGGTAATATTTCAAGAAAAAATTAATGCCCATGTTCACACCACTGTTGGAATTGTTTTGTTCCACAGTAATTTTGCTCGAAATATTACCAAGAACAAAACTTATCATTGTGTGTAAAGTATTGAAATATAATTATACTTTATTTGTAATATAGGGCTTTAGCAGCATATCGTCATTTCATCCTGTTCCCTGATATGTTATTTAGCTGGCTCAACGACTGTTCATAAGTTCTCATTTCCTGTTTACACGATCTCATTCATGCCACTTTTAGACACCACATTCGTCTCTTATCATTTGGCTCACATTAGACAGCCTACCGCATTATCAGTACGGAATCTTAGAACAACCTAAGAAGAAACTTTTCCACCGATAGATTGCACCCGCGACGTCTGTTGATAGCATGATTAGGTGGTAGACAACTTTATCCTACATATTCTAATATGATATAAAACAAATCCTTTTGGATTCCTTGAATTTCATTATATCTTATAATCTCATGATGAAGCGATACCAATTTTCAACAGTATAAGTGATAGCCAGCTACTTATATCCATAATCAGTAGGATAACAATAGAAGTGAACAAAGTGGTGACGCATTACATGTATACAAAACAAAAAGACTTACAGCTGACTGATGGTCTACATTCACATCACTATTCAATAATAAATTAGCTGCTTTAATATCATCTTTCTTCGATGCGATATGCAAAGCTGGCAGACATATTTTCCCACGAGAGTCACTTTCCAACAGAAGTGCTACAACACGATCATGGCCTTGTTGCAGGGCTACAGCCAGTGGAGTGAAACCATCATCAGTTGTTAGACCAGGATTAGCACCATTAGCCAGTAGAAGACGTACTACTTCTAAATGATTCTCTTGAGCAGCCATATACAGAGGAGTGAAACCATTCTAAAAGTTAATTCGAAGAAAAATATGCTAAAAGTTCATACAGTTGTGAGGCATAGTTAGAGATAAAGCTAGTTAGAAAGTTATTTGATGACAGGAATGAAAAGAAACAGATGTGTAATATAAAGAGATTAGGTGTTTGGAAAAGGAGATAAAATGAGCTCATTATCTTTAATATGATCGACAGTGATTCCTATAGTATAAGCTAACTATATAGTACTTCACAACATCTAAACTAAAATGTACTATTAACGTAAGACGTCGCACAAAAGCGAATCAGTTCAAAGTGCTACACTTCATAAAGCACAAATTAAGATAGAGAAGAGAAATACAATAAAACTACTTTGAGAAAAAATGTACTGGAAGAAAGTTGCTTGGATGAAGTTTACTGGGTGAGTTTTAGAATCTTGAAGACGATAAAGATTGAATACATCTGCATCACTCAGAATAACCACTAAGCCATCCCACCAATAATGTCTAACCACTAAATCTTAACATCTCGATGACATCCAACATGTTTAACGTTTGTGAGTCTCTTTGTGTCTACACTTTAGAACACCACGATGAGTTTCAGTCAACCAGAAACTATGCAGTAGATTAGGTATGTTGAAAAAGAAGTCGCTTAGTAATTTGTCGTATGATATTTTTTTACTTCATCAATCCATGCCGAAATTAAGTCGTCCCCGTCTATATTGCATAGTAAGTAAATTAGAAAATAAAATACCTTCAGAAAGATAACTGTCCATGGCTTATTTTGTATTCAAAGACTGGAATGCATGTTGACAGGGTTGATATCATAAAATTACAGAAGTCACAGAAGTGAACTATTTCAGGCTTCTTTTATCCTGCACAACACGCTAAGAAAAAGACGAAATAGGTAATCGTAGATGGATAAGACTTATATCAGGAGGAGAAAAAGGGTACATAGGGGAATTGATTATGGTATTGCGATGAAATTTAAGATTTTAGATAAGTATTAGTTAGTGGCGTTTTTTCTAAATATAGCCAGCATTACCCACTTCCATACATACCCAAAATTATTAAAATGTAAGAATATCAAACAGATGATTAGTAGTTTGATCATGAAATGACACCAGTTAGAGAACCATCGAAAACCAAAATGTACTGGACAGTCTGACATTCTTTATCAGTACGAACCCACAACCTCTCCATAAATAGGATACAAGACCTTCAGGTCACAAGGCAATCACGTTGACTGTTCGTCAGCTGGAACGGAATCTAGTCATCGGGACACGGATTCTAACTTTTGTCAATTCGCCATGTATATCATCGCCGTCAACCAATGTCATCAGCAAGTATTTATTGCACACCCAACTTGGTTGAACCCATTGGTTATGACGTCTCACCTGGACTCTAGACATATTCATCCTTTATTAGGTCAATATTGAGAATTAGATTAATTTTAAGCTTAGGTTTATGGGGATTTGGTTAGTCTCTAATTAGACACTGAGGTGGCATCAGTTAGATGGAGGTGTCTGGAGTTCCATTGAGACGTTGGGCGAGGGGATTTCATCAAGTCGGGTATGGGACAAGTAATCATCGATGACATTATCTGGGAGCTAAATATCGTGAACTGACAGGAATTGCAGGTTATGGTCCAGTAATTGCATTCTCCCCTGGTGGTCAGCAAAATGACCTAGTAACCTGGAAACCTTGGGTTCATCCGCCATTGAGGTTATTTTCTTCGTACTACTGCAGATTCCCAAACTAGGATGAAACATCTCTTCAGTATTCCTTGGCTTTCAATGGTTTTCTAACTGGTATCAGTTTGTCAATTAAATTAAATTCCAGTAAACCAGCACTCAAAGATCTTGATGTGAATGCAAGTACATCCAGGTGACGAGTCCTAAATAAGACGAGGTGTGCTTATTGTACTCCACTGCTAGGTGTCATCAACCAGACAAGGACTCATGTACATAACCTCGCTTTCATTGAAAGTCGTATTCAATTAGCAAAATAACCCTCCATTTTATTCGTATGATAGTTAATGCTAGTGACAAAAAAACCAGTAATTTACATTTAAAGAATCACATAGATGCTAATCAATATACTTGATAAATGATGTTGGCATGCCGATTAAAATGTCAAAACGTTCTGTTTACTTGATAAGAAAATAAGGTTGAAATCTTTTCAAAATTTAAGAAGTTTTTACAGTGAGTTGAGAACAGCTTTTGTAAAACAGGATACACATTAAATTCAACCTTTCAGAGAAAATTAATTTAGTGTAAGTGCCGAATATTAAAAAATATTGAGGACAGCTTAAAAGACAAAAGACAGTTTGTTTTACAGAATACAGTATTTATATGTACATCAAATTTGATGAAATGGTACTTCTAGGAGAAAGAATATTCGTAAATAAAAGAAATAATGAAAAAGTATGTTGAACAAAGCAAATAATTACTACATAAGAATTATGTAAAACAAAACAAAAGAGAAGAAAAATAATAGGAATAAAACAGACAGTGTAGAATAGAAGTATATGAAACCGAAAAGTGAATAACAACTCAAATGTCCATCTGATAGGATTTTAAAAAATAAATTTATGGAGGCAGTACTAGTAAAAAATGAAAACAACAGGAAGTGGCTAAAAGCAATTATAAGCCGGTTCAAATCAGAATCGACAGTTTAGCTATTGGGCTTTTTTAGTAATGTGATTGTACAACCTTAAATAAGATTTTATTTTGATAAATCACACAGTGTTGTACAGTAATATTAACTGATGACGTTTCGAGCATAAATTATTGCTCATAATCATATCAAGTCACTCACACAACTTTTTACTTCATTTATATATGTATATATATATATATATATATCAAAACAAAATTTTATCTATAATGGAGTTATACTCTACCACAGTGCCCAAGTTTTATACTTATATCACCTCTCCACCTTAAACAACCAACCAAATTATTTGTTGGTAATGCACAAAAATATATAATGATGTATTATTTGTCCAATAAAGCTGGTGATCTCAGCGACACAGACTAGTCTTGTCTTCTGATTTTTCCGTGGTTATGGTCAGAAGAAGATATTGAGGAAGAACAGTTGTACCCGGTTTTTAGTAGAGCTGCTTGTCGTATTTGAGTATTGAACCTAAGCCTCAGTATTATTATCAATAGTCATGACAATTTCACAAACAGAAACAGTCTAATTATTAATAAAAAAGTATCTCCGTAAGAAGATTTCAATACATACTCATAACATTTATTGTATCTTCATCCATGAGTGTTGTGAGGCATCAGAAGTAATGCTAGCTAACTGCCTGGATCTAAGATCACTAGACAGGCCTTGACAGTTGATTTTTCTTAAAATTCCTTTACGTTCCCAGTTGAACATGGGGATTCAAGCTAAAGGCTTGAAGTTCCAGTGGCAGTGGTGTTTATTTTTATGGAATAGTGTTACTAGCCTCATGTCCAGCCTTCCCTCTTTACCAGTCTTATTACTGGTTTAACGAGGTAAAGGAATTAGTTGGCCGGGGATTGAATCCCGAACCACATGCGTGGTTGGTGAGTGCTCTACCATTGTGCCAACGACGCACAAAGCAGAGCGCATCTGCCGGGAAAGTTGACAGCTCTAACTAATCAGTTTAACTCTGACTCAAATAAATTCATAGTAATCTTCATGTCCGTTCCTATCTTATTTAAAATATTCCCAATCCTCTGGAATACTATTAGTTAGAATTCTACAGAAAAACATTAGGCGATTTCCTCCCGTAACTATACACATCAACACTGTAATAAGTAAAAAAGACCAACAAAGGAGTATAAATGGATCGGTAGTTAACCTGAATACAGACATCATGCTGACAATATAATCATTTGATAAAATGAACCATTTAAACATTAATAAGAGTGTATATAATAATAAATATACTACTTCACAAGTAATATAAGTGTTATGCATGTACATGTGATCTAAAAGAGATGTATCCTCTCATTTTGAATACATTATTATCATTGTTATTGCTTTCTACATTGTAAATTACACTAACAAAATACCTAAACATTGTAAAAATGTGCTTGGTTATATACGCACCATTAAGAAAAAAGAAACGTCATCCAGTAAATAATACTGTTTCACTGTGTGATACATCTAATAAACAAACTAATATGGAATATAATTTTTTTTTATTTCAGGATACTGAACTACATTTCATGATTATCCATGGCTAACATTTTTTCTGTAGAACAGCCAGTATATTTTTTCCATTCAGCTTAAAGTGCTTATTCTAGTTTTAATAGTTTCCTTTACATGTTGATCAATGAACACAATGAACATCATGTTTGACTGGTCATTGAAGAGTGATGAGTATCATGTTGTTAGTGTTGACTGAATTCTATCAGTCAGTTTGCAAATGGTTTCAGCAACATAGGAGACTTGTCATCACAGTGTAAATTTCGAACTAACGTTAATAGGCAGAAAGCCCTGTCTATTGTCTGCAACCATTTAACATTAATAATGAAAATTCTGCATGAATGCAATACAGGAGTAAAATATCCAATAACTAGAATTCATGGATATATATGCCTTGTGAACTAATCAGTTGAATGAAAGACAAAAAGATTCTTTATGAGGGAAGATTTTATAATTAAATAACATAAAGGAGGAGAGCTTAAGGCTACCTAACAAACTGTTTATACCATATTTCAAAATTGTGAGGTCAGAAAAAGAGAGAAGACTGATTTATTAATTTTGGGACTGTGTAAGATAAATTTTAATATGCAGCACAAAATGTACAACGATTTTATTTCGATATGTAATCCCTCAGAATAAGCGACACATCAGTATAGAACTCAGAGTAAAAATTGTATAAGCCCATCTGCTCCACATATAACAACAGACACCAGCCACTATTTCTTAAAATAACTGAATCTCCAATTAGGAAACTTACTCTTTCTTCTTTGTGTAACTCAGATCTTTCCACTTAGTTCCTAGTGAACAGTGTGACAGCATAATTTGCAAGGTGAAGGTAGTATTCT